GATTTTCGAAAAGTAGCCTGCGTTTTCAGAGAGTTCCCTGACACAGTAACCACCTCGAGTCTCCTGATTTCGGCCCGTAATGATCAGTAGCGAGGCAAGAGCGATCGATTATCGATACTTCCCCCATCAGAAGCTGAGGTAAAGAATCGATTATCTAGGTGTTCGTTGCAAACATTCTGTTTATCGATACTTTTTCATACGTTTAAATGACAGATCAATCGATAAATAGCAAAGCACGCCACGCCACTGGCCATGTTCATTGTTCGGTTGCCCCGAGACCGTGTTTATTGACCGAAGTGAGAGAGTATCCATAAGGTCACTGACCCTACCAGCTGAGTTGATACAATTTTTACCAGAAATCGATTCCAAAAGTTCATAGAGAAATACCACGACTTGCAGAAGGCACACTGAAAAAGAAAAACTCGGGCCATGGATGCCGTGTACTTTCGGGCTATAAGGACATAGATCTACCATTCGTTCTGGGCTCGAAGGCCGAAATTTCCGAGTGTAGCACCCGCTGCTCCGGCTTCTGGGCCCAGAGCAGTCAAGCTACGGCTCCAGCACCCGGAACTTTCGGCCTCTGAGCCCGGAGCGAACTGTATTTCAGTGTAGCTCGTAAGTAGGGCTTTCTTGGCCGGAATTTGACCTCAGTGAACGATTAGCAGAGGGTATAAATTCGACAGAAAAATGTCCTAACAAGGAGGTTGAGTAAATTTCCTGACTTTTCCTTGATTTTCGACGACCCGAGGAGCCTGAGCTTGGAGAGGGAGAGGGACGGCGAAAAACTGGCGGGCGATGAGGACGAGGAGCTTGCCGGAGCCCACGCTTGCTTTTCCGGCTGACAGCTGAGCTTGGCGCGCGCGTCGCTCGGACAACGCACGCAAGAGTTTACACATTCTTCGGGAACCACACATGGAGGTTTTCACATTCCACGCGGGAGAGACTCGGCGACTTGGCGACGTGGCTAGCGTAGCGAGCGTTGCCGCGCGGCGCGGCGCGGGGCCCGGAAAATCGCGGGAATCCTGGCCGGGGCGGCGCCGCCGCGCGCAACCACATTCCAGCGCGCGTCCGTCTCTCTCGCGCCGCCTGCCCGCGCCGCGCTCCGTCCGCGTCGCCCATCATCAGTCCACTACATTCTCCGCCTCCCTCCCGCCTCCATCAACGAGCGCAGATGCTGCTAGCGCTCTTCTATCACGACTCCAGCGTTGCCGCTTGGCACATTCTTCGCCGCAACGAAGCTCCGCGCTCCTCCTCGGATAATGCAGCTGCTTCGGTGATCATTCCTCCGGCAGCCGACAAACGCACATGCTCATCATTTCGGTGTAAAGATCCCAGGGTACACGGTGACAACAGGAATTTCAAATTCCGATTTCCTCACTTATCCGGGCCTTTCAGGGATGAATAGAAAAATACTCGCATTTTTGACGCAACACAAAACGACGAGAGGGGCTTGGAGGACGAGGCGCACAAGTCCAGTTCTATGTTTCAGATATTAACGCTTTTTGAGTAAAACTGGTCTTAATACATATTCTGCGAAAAATTCGCTCCCGAATCGAAATTTTCAAGCATCGAAAAGTCAGCTTGATCTTTCTTTCCGCTACGAGGATCCATGTCATTTCAAAGCTTCCAACACGCATTTCTCGAAATAGCAAAAACTGCACTTGAGCTACATGTCCTCCAGAAATAATAATTTTAAGATCCCTGAATGGGGGGCGAGCTGAAAGTGTGTGACGTGACACGCGGAAATTGACAGTTTTCGTAAACGTAATTTTCCCATTACTTTAGAGGCATTTCGCTTTTTTCCCCTAACGTCCCTGTGGTCCATTTATATTCCCTGACCCTTCTTGTTTTTCATAGTTTTCCCTGATTAGCTGCAACGACCAAGCTGCACTGCTAAGCTCACGCGTACTTTTCACGATGGGTCGCCATACAAGTCATCAACTGACGTTTACGTGGACGGCGCTTGACAGGGAGTTGAGCAATCAATCCCTGATAAATGTCATTTAAACATTTACCATTTAACCCGTGTTATTTATAAACATTAGCGTCTTCTGTAGGGGTTGCTTCCGCATTTTCCTTAGAATCATTTTAACCGAATATTCCTGGAGATACAGCACGTGACTCTGTGATTTAGTTGGTGTCTTTCCTACGGCCCCTTCTTGAACGTTCACGGCAGCGAACTTTACAACGGTACGATTTTCGTCAGGTCGGATGGAAAAATCAGATCACGAGATTTCGTCGAGAATTTGCTGTGAGCGTTTACGTTTCTTGCTGTGCCAATGAACGGCATGAAGTCATAATCGGGCAATTCGTTTGACCGAACATGACAAAACAGCTGAAACCTTACTGAAATCTCTTCCTAGCACAACGTTTTTTGAGCTGCGCATTTGATCCGTCGGAACCCAGGTTTCGTTTGATGTTCCGACGAGCGCTTTTTGCCCGAAATGATGGTGGAACGTTCCTCAATATTCGGGTATCGGTAGCTTACTTATTTTGCGTAGCGGTGGACGGCCACGATCGTTTCATCCCGAGTAAGAGTCTCCGGTGCAAGCTCAGCTGGAGGCCCCGCTGGAATCTCCCCGAAAAATATTCCAGATCATCACTCGATTTTCCTGCGCGAGTGCCGGCACGAGCTTCGGCTTCATTTGGACTACATTTTGTAATTTGGAACTATAAATTCTAGCCCGGTTTAAAAACAACGTGTGTGCCATTAGTTTCCCTATGCACATAAGTGTTTTTCCAGAAGAGCCAGAATTTATAGTTCCAAATTGCAAAATGCAGTCCATTTGCTGGTGCGTTTCGTAATTACACACGTTTCTCGGGTGTATCCGTGGGATTTCGATCTACGTCTGTCAACGTAGCGCGACTTCTCAAATCATGCTCCTTTACCGCGTTCCTGCCGCGAACGGAACGGGGAATGATTTGGAACGGAATCGTGCTCATGCCCCCCCCCCCCCCCCCCCCCNTCCCGGGGACTGCGCGAGATGAGCGCGCTCCGTCCGACCGTTGCCGTAGTTACCGATTATTCGTCATCACTTCGAGGAAACCGTCTTCACCCTCGAAATGAAGGAATCGAGACGGGCATACGTCAGATCCAAGGGTACATACCAGTTTTTTTTTTTTTTTTTTTTTTTTTTTTTTTTTTTTTTTTTTTTTAATTATTCAAATTATGAGGGGCCTCAGGGGCAGGACGGCAAAACGCCATGAAAAATAAAATCTTAAAATTTCACTTTATGAAACAAATTGAAAAAATACCGGTTCCTTTCCATGTTCCGCAAAATGCAGAAATTGTGACTTTCTTCTATTTTAGTGTTTTGGAGAGCGGATCGCATACTTCAGCCCCTGAAAGATATGAAATACTTCACAGCCTCGTGAAAGTTCATGAAATATTTCACTGAAATTTCCAATTTTTCATTTCTTTCCTACGTTTCATGCCACCCTGTTCAGGGAGGGAGGGGAGGGGGGTTCTTGGCTACATTTACTTTTTAACTATCTGGTCTGAATCCCTTGATTCTTAAAAATTGGCTGAGAGAATAAAGCAGATAGATATTTTAAATTTCTGGGGGAAGAGGATACATGTGGAGAAAAAAAAAGAATAAGGATTGCGATGGTATTATTTCCAGGCAGTTAAAGGCCCATAGGGTGTGGCGTCATATTCCTAACAAATTCTAAACCTAGAGACCTTCTTTTGTGAGGAGATGCTAAAAGATGAGAGATGAAAATTTAAAAAAAGGGGGAAGATAAAGAAAAACAAAGATGTTAATTCCAGTTGGTTGTTAGACCAACTCCATTTCCTAGTCTGCCAAGGTAAATAAAAACGCGGTAGATATCTTCGAATATTGTCAAATTTCCTCACTGAAAATATGAGTTTTTTAGAGAAAGTTATAAATATGCTTTTTTGAAAATACCAGACTTTTTAGATCAAATTACGAGCAAAATCCTCTAAAATCACAGAAATATTCACAAATTTTTCAGAAAATTCGGGATTTGTCGAGGGAAATTTGGCAACGCGTGATGGCTCATGCGGCGTTCATCCTTAGCACAGCAATGCAGGTGTCAGGATCATTTCCGTTCATTTTTCAAGGTTGTAGGAACCCTGGGACCAGGAAGGGCAAAGGCAACTTGTAAAAACTATCTTTTAGCTCATACTTAAAAAATCAGTCCTACTTTTGCATCATTCACAATTTCAAATGCTGTAGGAACCCATTTTTCTAGGTACTAACAACACTGCCAAGCACTGATCATAAAAATATCAATTCTGATAATGCATGAATCAAGAAAAAAATTAAAAAGGAAAAAACTCTAAACAAGACTGCATCTAGGTTCGTTTAATCATAGTCCACTTAGAGTTTTTTGGGGTGGTTTTGAATGAAGTTAGAACACTTCAATACTTAAAGTTTAAGAAGTAGTAACATCATATAAAGACATAATTAACTTAGCTAGTGTCATAGTGTGTGCAAAATTGAATAAGCTTGTGCTTACTCTGGCCATACACCTATGACACAGAGCAAAGGGGCAAGGAATAGGACCTGGCTTAAAATTTAAAGGGGGCATGGAGCTAGCTTGACAAAGGATGTGTCCTGATACGCTCATCATATACTTGTTGCACGGAGCAATTCAACGCAATTGCTTAGGACTGACGTCGGCGTTAAGAGCATCTTCAACATAGTAAAATTAGGAAGCAACTACCTAGGCCTCTATTTTACACTCCTAATAATATGGGAATTTAAGCACTGTAAATACTCAACTCACATTGAAAAATTCTGTATCGGTTGACACTAAACAAAAACTTAAAAAGCCTTAACAGCAGAAAAAGTTTGTTGGGTTCAATATATTCATGGGTAAGCAGTTAATTTTTAAGTACTTATTCCCTGAGAAATGGTCCAATTTTGGTCTTCTTGAATTCCAGCATTTTTTAACCACCAAACATCAGTCCAAAACCATTTGTTGAGTTATAAAACAAAAATACGCAGAGATAAAAGAAAAACTGGGGGACTTACTTCTAAAACATCCTGTGCTGTATGAAGATATTCTCTCAGCATATCCTCTTGAATGGCTCGCCATTCTAAACGAGGATCCTCCAGTTGCGTACATTCTAAAACAAACACCTTGCAGTATTAGTACAGTGATATAAGATATTAAAGAAAAACAAGTTTCAACTGATGAAAGTTTGATTGACTGCATAAGCCAAGATTTTGTTTTCCAAAATGACAAATCGCCAATTTGAGATTCTTGGTGAAACATACGTAATACTTGGTGAGTTTTCAACCTCATACTTCAGAGCAAGAGACTTTTTCAATGCCTGACACACTAGTTGATGGATTTCATTGGTCAATGTCTGATGAGCTAATAATCTGAAGAAAAATAAAATGTGAAAAAGGTACAACACAACACAAAATCTGTGGCTGACATAAAATTTGTTTTCAGGACGATTGACAATCAGTGTTTTATTTTCTCAAGAACCAGTTCATACTTGGCTGCAACTAAGGAGACAGTGCTACTGCTAGTATCATAAAGTCAATAAAGAATTGATCAGAATTAACTCTTTGAAGCTGCTCCGTTATGAGATGAGTCCTCGAAGATTCAAATATCTTTTATCAATAACAGTTGACACAAAATTTAGAAAATACATTTCCACGACAGATTTTGGTAGAGTTGCCTGACAATGAAAGATTTGCCATATGGTTGAACCTAACACTTTTCCTAATTTTTCCTGACATTTCCAGGTCCTTCCGGTATGCCCTAACTATGGCAACCCTGGGATGGATGTACAGAACTAACTAAAGTTAATGATACTTTTGTAACAAATAAATCACTATGGCAGTTGAATTAAGAAACCAACTGATTGACTTAATCGCAAATTTTTACCAGGAAGGCAGTGGCTCCTGTTTAAAGGGCAAAAAATTTCGAGAGAAAGACCATTAAGTACGTGCCTGATCTAAAATCTTGAACATTATTAATGCAACACACTCCCCCCCCCCCACACACAATTTCTAATTCATAATATTTAAAGCAAGAGCACTAAGAGGAGCTTGCATGTAATCGAGAAAAAATTTACATTGTCTTCATATGAGATGCACTCATCTTCTTAAAAAAACCAGAAGTATTTCTGAAATGCATTACAGTAAAATGTTTTCATTAAGAGAATGTACAGACTCACTGAGAGATGGTGTCATTTTGAATTGGAGGGGTGCAAATCCCGGGATAAAAATTGAATGGTTGAAGTGAATAAACTTGTACTTACGATTAACGTGATTTATGTAGTAAACACCAATATGATGATCATAGGCTTCTTCCCAACCTAGGGGTAGTTCGTTTCCTACGCAATCTGCGAAGGATTGCGGTTTTGTATACCTGAAAAGAGCAAAATTTAGTTAAAAATCGAGGACTAAATTGTGTGCCTGCAAAAGCTACAATGAGACACATCGGCACAATATTTAATGAGGGAAATGTGTGCTTCATAAGGGCGAATATCCTTCCACCAGGTGACATCCAAAAAGAGGAAAGGGCAAAATGTCAGTGCAAGTGCAGTATTTCACAACTTAAGGCTGGCTAAACAGCATGCAGCTTGTCCTCGATCTGACACCTCTACTAGTATACAGGGTTATTCAAAAGTCACACATCACACCACAAGAACATTCTGCACCACTGTGTTTCATGATATAGGTTAGGTTCCATTTGCACTAGTTATTCAACAGTCTGCATCAAATGAGCGTCAATCAATAATGCCGACATTACTTCAAAAGATGATTTTAGAATATCCATTGACACCATTCCAACGATTGAAAAATTAGTTGAAAATTGTAAGAAGTGTGAAGCAAAATCTGTGAAAAGGTAATGGAATGATATTGTTTTGTTCTCTTTAACAAGAATAAAATGAGGGCGGAAATTTTTAAACACCTCAAATGAGATACACGGTATGATAGCTTCACTGTCGATATGTCTCAGAATATCTACTAGCTTGAAAGTTCTTTGCGCACTAAACAGAACAAATGAGTACATTCCTTGTGAATATAAGTAAGAATCCAGCAAAAACATGCTATTAAGAACACATCTGTCACTTAGAATCAACAGTTGAATTGACGTAAACTAAATTTGGGAAGGCAACGAGTAGGAACACCTTCCTCAGGGTTAACCTAACCGCAACGTTATCAGGCACAGTTGCTTGGAAGACAGTAAAATAACCTGGCAATATCAAGGGTATAAACAAAGAATTGTGGACTAGGAGATGTTTAACTGATAGTGTTCAATTAAAATCGGCTACAATGACCTTAAAAATTCCTACCCTCTCGTTAGAGTGCAGTGATAATGAGTGGTTAGATCAAATTCCTTGGCGTTTACATTTGAGGTCTTCATAAAACAAAGAATAAATCTCTGGAATGATACACATTCACAAGATGATTTGCTCAAATGGAAAATTTACAGCATCTTAGGAGAAAAGAAGAATACAGGCTCTTTCTGCTGACCACATTTTAGAGGAATATTAAGAGATACATGTCCATGATTGAGGTGTTTACTCTGGGAGTGAGCGAGTAATCATGCCAAATACAGAGCGATGGAAGATAAAGAAAGAATTTAGCAGTAAGACATGGTGAGAGGAGCTTAAGTTATCTTCTGAAACAAACTTTGAAGTAAGATAACTTAATAGCATGAGCAAAATCGCAATTTGGAAGGATTCCTTTGAATATTCTCAAATAGGTTGCAACACTGACTTCATGATCACATTCCAATCTGCAACCAAGATGAATCGGAAGTATTACAAGTTTCCTGCGAAATTGGTTGACCTCGAACGATCTAAATTCATAGGCATTCAAAGCTGGGCATAATTCGTAATTGAGAAGGGGAGGAATTAGTTGATATTGCAAATAAGAGGCCATAAAGGGTACACATTCCTCACCTATCTCTCGGATCTATCCAAGTGGTCTTCTTGTTGTTGTGGTCTATAAAGTATATTTTCCCGTCATAATCGCGAGCAAAATCCCATCCGGCGGGTAAAGGGATTTCGCCGTTTCTTTTTCTCGGCATATTTCACTAAAATAACACTAAAATCACAACATTCACGGACACACATAACTACACTGCGCGCTTCATAGCACAACACTCATCGACTCGACGCCATAATGAGTGCTGGATCAGGAATGCCACAATTGAATCGGTGGAGGTTAGAACCGAATGCGTCCATTATCTCATGAGCCCTCGAGTATGATCTTCCTGATATACATTGAGGCTCATCAAATAAACGGCTATAATAGTTTGTATCACGAAGCGATTCAATTGATAATCAAGAGCATGACATCATATTCAATAACCAATCACAGCGCAGATAGATGCCACAAGCATTGGAATGCGACTACTGAACTGAACGAACGCTCAACGCACTGTCAGCTGTGTTCAGCCGCTCAGTGTTGTATCAAATTTTATTACCTCCGGCGTCCACACCATTCTCCACAAGCAGCTGTATCCCCTACTCATCTCGTTAAATGCATTCACCATTCAGTTTTTAGAGGATTCGTCAACCGTGCAGGTCAAATTCCTCGACATTCTCCCTAATAAATTTGTGCTCCCAAGGCCATTGCACCATTGTACCTAACTCTTTTTTTCTTCCCACTAAAATCGTGTGCTATATACCAGATTCCAAAATTTAAACCTCTGCCGACGAGATGTCCCCATTTGAACATTTTTCTCAGCTCCCGTCCCTTGAATTTGCGCATTTTTTCCGCCCTTTCAAGTTTTTCAATTAAAATGTTTCGTTGACCTACCTATTGTGATAACTTCCTCACACCCAAATCCCTAATTATTTTCATTCATTTTGTTTCCTCGAGTTTGTTCTTCTATTTCCGGGTTTCGCCTGTTTTTCCTCTTCTTTTATTTCTTTTCTTTTTTGAAGCGAAAAAAAATTGAAAAATTTTCCACATTAAATTTTGTCTACTTTCACTTTATTTTGGTTTTTTCTAAGATTTCTTTGATTTTTTGTTCAGAATTTTCCTTACTTCAAAGTTAGCTATCTATGCATTTTTAAATCTACCTATGTGATCTTCGTTTCTTTCAACACCTCTTTTGCTGGTTATAAATTTGAAAGAATGAAGCAAATCTAACTATGCCAACGTAAGTATCCCAAAGGAAACAGCTGACTCGCACATGAAAGGATGTATAATTAAATTTAAAAAATTAGACAAAATTTGATTCCGCATATCAGAAAAAAACGCTGTGAGTGTTGTTATGAAAAGGTTTCAGGACAATGGTGTATGTGTGCCTGAAAATAATTTTTAGAAAAAAAAAATTGATGAAACGAAGGACTGAAGTTGCCCGAGTGAAAATTCTCTGAAAGAAGTGCGAGTTGGATCAAACTTTTGAGCGGAGGCTAGAAATAAAGATTTTTCTATAATCTTGACTTAATTCCTTTTCGGGGACATGATCAGAATATTTTCCATCATTATTTGCGCTTGAGTTTTAACTCACGACTTTTAAAGTCGCGGTTTAAAAACGGTCTTTGCCCCTGATTCATCACGGCACAATCGCTCAGACATTTTAGGATATTAGTTGCGAGGTCCACTGAAAATTGAGAAAAAAGAAAAACATAATAGAAAATACACGCATGCTGTTCGTATACTATGAACACATTGCAATGTTAATGTACCGCAAGCTCATTGCCCTCGTCCTTGCTGCATCATGATCAAACGTGTGAACTAGAGTCATGGTTCAAAACACGTAAAAATGTCCTGCAAGTTATGCAACACATTCAGCTCGTAATGCTTTGTTGCGTGTCAATGATTTGAAGGCTGTCCGCCGCAACGACAATGAGAGATACCGCGCCCGCGAACTTGACGGATCAAAAACACGTGGTGACGTGGCTTTGAAAACACGATTTTTCGGGAGAATGAACAAACTTCCTACCAGTCGAAATTACTAACGAAAAGAAAATCTTGCTGAAAATATCAAGAATAGGACACGTTTTAAATCCCTCAGCGTTCTTTTTGCAAAATAATTTCGGATAGCACGGAGACAGCAGTAACATATAAATCCGGTTAGTAGCTGTTTAAGAGGCAAAAATCAGAATTGAGAGGTGAGAGCAGAAGATAAGAATTGAACACCTGAAGTGGAGGTGGAAGTTGAAAACCGGAAGTGGAAAGTAAAAACCGGTAATAGGACGTGGAAACCCAATGTGGTAGAGAGAACCGGAAGTTGAAGGTGAAAACCAGAAATGAGACGTGAGAACTGAAAGTTGAAGGTGAAAACCGGAAATTGTAAGTGAAACCGGAAGTGAATAGTGGAAGTTACAGGTTAAAACCCGGCAATTGGAAAGGAAACCGGTAGTGTAAAATGAAGACCCCGAAACAAGAATTGAAAACCGTAAATAGGAGGTGAAAACTTGAATCGGATGGTGAAAATCGAAAGTGGAAAGTGAAAAGCGGAAGTTAAAAATGACCGGAAACAAGAAACAAAAACCGGAAGCAGATGTTGAAATCGTTTTCTTTGACACGATTTCCAGCAGTAAAACACAGAAAGGAACAAAAGCCGATTTTTCCAAGGGATCAATGGAATTTTAAAATCTAATCACCACTGTAATGCGTTGGATTGCCTCTGCTAATTCTGATCCCCTGGTAAAAATTGGCGATAGGAGCTGCGTTTCAAAATACCATAGGAGTTCTTATAGCCGACTGAGGAGGGCGATAGAAAATCATATAGCTGGCTGTAGAAAGTGGAAAAAATCATAAGGCCGGGCTACACGAAGCGATAAAAAATTATACAGCCGGGCTATAGTTCCTATCGCCGGGCTTTACTCTTTATCGCCTGGCTGTTGCTTTTTCGCCATCGGCTATAAAAGGCTATAAGAAATTGTGTAGAAATTCTTGTGCTTTGTAAATCCTTAAGTTTGTACGGAATCACCTTAATATTTACAAAACGCACATTATATTTTCCTTTACTACATATTTTTTTCATCAATTAAAATGAGAATAATCCATACAGTGTGTGCAAACATTTCAAAATCATGAGTTGAAAAACGCTGACTCCGCGAGATTAAATATCAGAGCCTAATACAAAGCGGCGCACTGTTGCCTACAAACCTAACAGGGATACTTCACGCATTGCGCAATGCGTGAAGTATCCCAGTTAGGTTTGTAGGCGCCAATGCGCGTTCAGCGCTGGCTGCCCGACCGCCGCGCCGCAGCGTACCGCGGCGCTTGAAGCAACTATTTCACACCAGAGGTATTGCACAGTATCATACGAAATTGAAGGCGCTCCAACATATTAGGAATGGCAGGCATCCTTCAAAAGTACGGAGCTTTCCTCGCAAATTAAATCAAGATACTGCGGCCCAAAAAGAGAGCGGTAGTACAATAACTCACTAAGTCCTAGCATCCGTAATTAGTAACGTTTAGCACACACTTTATCGCCAGGCTGTTGCTTAATCGCCATCGGCTATAAAATGCTATAAGAAATTGTGTTGCCGGCTATAGAAGCTATTGGAAATCTTACAGCCGGCTGTAGGTCTATGGTATTTTGGAACACAGATTCTATTGCCAATTTTTACCAGGGTCCACTTAAGCCATTAATTCAATCGAACTAAAACTTTACAAAAGTTGAAACTCACTGACATGAAGAATGTTACTCTTAGAACACTGTATGTACAATCAACCTACTTTTAAAAATTGACTCAAAAGAATAAAATGTAAATATTTTAGGAGAATAATAATAAGGAGAAAGAGGAGAAGAGGAAGAAGAATAAGAAAAAGGAGAAGAAGAAGCAAAAGAAGAAATATAATAACATAAAAAAAACGGGAACTCTCAGTCCCAGTGCCTCAGCAGACGAACACGAAACGCGAAGTTGGAAACCTAAGGATGCATCTATTCGTGCTTGATGGACCGTGTTGCATATCAAGTAAATGAAGGCGCTTTACCTTTTCACACCCGCTTATTCATTTGGGCGGGCAGCTCAGCAACCTGAGCCTCCTCCAGTTCTCCGATTGTATCACCCTTGCATTGAGCTTTTCACTTTTTTTATAGGACAGAAACCTACCTAACTCCGATGAATCCCGCTTCATAAGCAACATTTTGCACTTTTTCACATCCATTGAGTTACAAGTCTAAAATATCTATGATTCACAGTTTCATAAATTTTGTAGACATTAACAGTCTCAGTATCTCTCTAGGTAATAATTACTAGCTACAAAGTAAATATTGTATACATACAAAAAAATATATTGTATAGAAGCGAGCTCAAATAAACAGCATGCGAAGGGCCGGATTTAGGGAGTGGCCACATGGCGGCGAAATTAGGGGGCGGCAAATGTTGTAATTTTTTCAAATGTAGGTATCAAGATAAAAATCTGATTCAGAAAAAAAATTACGAACGACAAAAGGCGAAAAAATCTCTTATTTCCTGAGAGTAAAAGTATAGTAATTTCCAATTTGATCGTCTTTCAGTGATACAAGAGACAGCGCCTTTCATTAGTCTAGTTGAGAGAGAAACCAAACACGCAATTTGGCCTGGAGCGGCGGGGCGCAGAGAGCAATGATGACTATAGGACTTGAGATGAGAAGGAGAAGCCCTCGGCGCGCCGCCTACAAGACTGCATGAGACTGAAGACTACAATACTTCACGCATCGCGTCAAACGTAGTGCGGTCAGTAGCGGTTGGCGCCGTGAAACTCATAGTGCCTACAAGACTGCATTAATACTTCACGCATTGCGTCAAAAACAGTGCGGTCAGCAGCGGTCGGTGTGAAAGGCATAGCGCCTACTAGCAGGCCCGCCACATCCCAACTCGGGCCCTGGTACCAGTTTTAAGGTCCGGGCCTCAAGCACGGAGGGGGGGGGGTCCGAGGGACATCCCCCGAGAAATTTTAGAATTTCTACGACTAATCTCGTAGCATCTAACTCTTAGTATCTGACGACGGAAGAAAATGAAACGCAGTTACTAAAAATATCCCTCTGTACTGAAAATCTTGAAAATAGATAGAAATTTTCGAAGAAGTACCTATACTTCTGTGAAAATTTAAGAATAATTCTAGAATGCCCCAGCGTGTTTCTGAAGATCTATTCACCTTTTGCGAAATTTTTAGGGTAAATTTTTCACTTTTTTTTTACGAAACAAGGATTGCATGTGAATTCGTAATGGTTTTTCACGGGTAACACGGGCCCCCTCCGGGGCCCGGGCTCCGGTACCAGGGACCCAGTATCCCCGCCGGGCCTGCCTTCACGCACGCTGGGTTTGTCGATTTCCTTTGACATTTTTGTAGTGGTGAATGCATTGCTGAAGTGCGCTCCAGCTAGAATTGTATTTACACATGGGTGGTTTTTCTACGAGGATTAAAAATAGACGAGTGGTACGGAATATAACAAAAGAGTATGAACTATGCAAGACGATAATCAGGGTATCGGAACTTGGCTGATTAGAAAACGCCTTCAAATGCGGCGTGATACCTCACACATTCCGGAGAGTTCAAATAGTTGTATCATTGCGCCTTAGAAATGCGACGGAAGATTACAATTGAAATAGCCTTCATGCACGCTGGCCTTTTCGATTTCCGTTAACATTTTTACAGTCATGAAAGCGCTTAAGTGCGCTTCGGCTAGAATTGTATTTACATATGGGTGGTTTTTATAGGAGGATTATAATTAAACAAGTGGTTAGAAATGGAAATAAAATAATATGAACTATACAAAACGATTATTCCGATAACGGAACTTGGCTGTTTTGAAAACGCCTTCAAATGCGGCGTGATACCTCACGCATTCCGGAGAGTTCAAATAGTTGTATCATTGCGCCGTATGATTGTGACGGAAGATTTAAATGGAAATAGTCTTCATGCAGGCTCGCCACATCCCATCTCGGGCCCTGGTATCAGTTTTAAGGTCCGGGCCCCAAGCACGGAGGGGGGGGGTCCGAGGGGCATCCCCCGAGAAATTTTAGAGTTTATACGACTAATCGGACGCATTTTGAAGCTTCCGTAAATAATTTTTCCATCAATTTCTGCGGAATAATCATATTTTTTTTTAATACTTTCAGCACAAAATACTTGCGAATTGTTGCATTCAAAACATCTGGAAAATTTTTATTTTTTTTTGGGGGGGGGAGGATATGATACTATTTTCAGTTCTAAGAGGGCCAGGCCCCCCTGGACTCTCCCTTCGTTTGTCTATGGCAAGGGAGTTGAGCCATGAGCCATTGAAGTCGAGGATGCCCAGACTGGAGACTCTTAGAATCTGACGACGGAAGAAAATGAAACGCAGTTACTCAAAATATCCCTCTTAAAATATCTTATCTAAAAATATATACTGAAAATCTTGGAAATAGATAGAAATTTTCGAAGAAGTATACTTCTTTGAAAATTTAAGAAGAATTTTAGAGTGCCCTAGCGTGTTTCTGAAAATCTATTCACCTTTTGCGAAATTTTTAGGGTAAATTTTTCACTTTTTCTTACGAAACAAGGATTGCATGTGAATTCGTAGTAGTTTTTCACGGGTAACACAGGCTTCGGTACCAGAGACCCAGTATCCCCCCCCCCCTTGTGGCGGGCCTGCCTACAATACTGTAGGGATACTTCACGCATTGCGCCGAACACAACGTGGTTGACGCGGTGGCGGAAATTAAAATTATTAAACCGTATTCATGTTTATTCTTTCATAATTTTTTCGTTCATCCTCATAAATGAAAGGCCTCGTCCACACACAGATAGGTTTACGGAACTTAATTTTCGCGCAAAGTTCCGTGAGCTTTTGCTAGTGTTGACAAGGCTTTCACAAAAAATGTGCCCAATACGAGTAAACGCGCCTTATGCACCCCTCCTCTTCCGGCACGTTCTCTTGATGGTTTGTACCGATGTTTCAAAACGAATGAGAAGGGGGCGGCAAAATACAGGCGGCCCATGGGCAGCAAGTAGGTAAATCCGGCCTTCAGCACGTGTAAAAATTAATCCTCATTTTTAAGTGATTAAGGAAAGTTTTAGTCAAATTTTGTCTTATATTTTTATACAAGAGGTTGTGTCTTAAGTCTAGCTATGTAATAATGTTATTTTGATGGGAAAGTATCAGTGCTTCTGGCAATTTCCGTGATCATTATGTAACTTAGTTCACTTAAGTCGAACTTTATCAGCTAATTAAGGTGCCTAAAGAATTTAGATGTATTTATTACCTAAAGAAAAAGAAATTCGGCCACCTTTTCGATACATTCACGAGCCAAAATGGCGATGCATAATACGTGATAATCGATGGTATACGATACATCAAACAGGTGAGATTGTATCTATATCGATCGGTTCAATAAATAAACACAGCCTCAAAAGTCAATTTAGAATCTAAGGTAACGGGTCTCCTGTGATCGAATTTTTATTCTTTCGAGTATCTAATGGCAATGAAAAGTGAAATTATCAGGATTGTTTTCTCATTTTCAGCTTTCCCAAATTAAATCCTAAAATTTTGGTTTGAAGTTATGTTCTATTGTTGTGAACGAAACGATGCATCGAACCACTATCGAATACGATCCATTATTCATAATCTCTTTGTTGTACATCGGGGTTCCCGTGTATCGAAAACAACGGATCATGTATCGAAATGGTGACCCGGCACCGCTCAAGAGTCATGAAATTTGCTGACAAAAAATGCTTAAAAGTGGCGCCAGCTCCCTATCACGACTCTACGTGTTCTATGCCCTCTCCTGATACCCCGCGTGGCTTCACCAGAGAAGAACATTCTCACACATTAATTTTCAGATAACTTTGGAATCTATGTTGACCGAACTTGTGACACAGGGGACATAGAGCCTACATCGATAATCGAATAGTTAATAGCCGAGATAACAACAACAAATTGTTTAAATTTGTCAATAAGCGCCGAAGAGCGCCACGCGCGAGGAGAGCGCCGCGCCGCGCTGGTTAAAAAAAACGGAACCAATAAATTGCGCTTATCTTATCCTTTCGAGGTCCCCCTTGAACAGGATAAAGATGATAAAGTCATCTTTGAGTAGTTGGTTCTTTCAGCGCGACAGTGCGAACCTCCGTTCAGAAAGAAACGAGGCGTGTCTCCCGAGATTTGTCGTGAAAGTGTTTCTCAGACGTTGCACCCAGTAAAGTAAAAAAGTAGTGTTTAATAAAGTAGGTGCCATAAATTTTGAACGACCCAAGTTCCAATGTGATCCATACATTCTTTTAAAACGAGCATTATATCCAGGATTCTTGAAAGCGTCAAGCAATTGAAAGGTGGCTAAATAGAAGAAAGAATATCCCACGTGAATCAATGCATTAGGTACCTAACGAAAGAGATCATCCATTTTGCTTCCTTGTGACAAGTCTACGGCGAAACTCCCAAAACACGTTTTTCGGTTCGCGACGTTGCAGACATACTGTCATACTCTATTTTTTAAAAGAAATACCACTTAGCGTTCACTCTTTGAAATGACCCTGATTTTGCTGCTCTATGCGAAGAAAATTCTGTGGAAACTACTCAAAATAATATTGATTCGCTCTGAAGGAAAAGAGAATAATGGGAATGGAAATTTTCGAACACCGCAAACGAGATCCGTGGTTCGAGAGTTTCACCGCCGAAGTGATTTAAGGTGATTCGACGGTTGCCATTTTTTGTGTCAGAGCTACGCGACGTTTGATATATCGCATCAATTCGTTCCATAATATCAGCTACTTGTCATTTTTTTTTCGAATTTTGAGATCGCACTTCTGTTGTCACGAGACTAAAGAATTCATGTACCAAATGACGTACCAAAAGAAGTTCAACGTATTAAAGGCAAGGTTTTTTCGGTGGAAAAATATCGCATTCGAGTGCAGTTTCGATACCCGTATCGAATGCTATATTTTCCCTCTAAAAAAACCCTTCCCTTAATACGTTGACTTTCTTTGTCAAATTTGGTACATGAATTCTTTAGTCTCATGACAACAAGAGTGCGATCTCAAATTAAATTCGAAAAAAATGACAAGTAGCTGAAATTATGGAACGAATTGATGTGATACATCCAGGCCCGCCACATCCCATCTCGGGCCCTGCAGCCTCCAGCAGGATTGCCACGAAATTTGGAAAATTGAACTCCCTAACATTTTCCTGATTTCCTTGACACATTTTGGTAAAATTCTCTGATAATTGAAAATATCCTATATGGTAAAAAGACATGATTAGAAATAGTTTTCAGGCAAAATGTGTCGTTCAAAACATGAAACCCATTCTAAAAAGCAAAGAAAGGTGACTTGATAATTTTTCCCTGACATTTTCGTCATTTTCCCTGATATTTCCCGGTTTTCCACGCCTTTTTAAATTTCCCTGACGTTTCTCGGGTTTCCCGGTATTCCCTGACTGTGGCAACCCTGTATATGTGAATTCGTAGTGGTTTGTCACCGGTGGCACGGGCCCCTCGAGGGTCTGCCCGGGTAAAAATTGGCAGTAGAATCTGTGTTCCAAAATACCATAGACCTACAGCCGGCTGTAAGATTTCCAATAGCTTCTATAGCCGGCTACACAATTTCTTATAGCCATTTATAGCCGATGGCGATTAAGCAACAGCCTGGCGATAAAGTGTATGCTACACGTTACTAATTACGGATGCTAGGACTTAGTGAGTTTTTGGACTACCGCTCTCTTCTTGGGCCGTAGTATCTTGATTTAATTTGCGAAGAAAGCTCCGTACTTTTGATGGATGCCTGTCATTACTAATATGTTGGAGCGCCTTCAATTTCGTATGATACTGTGCAATACCTCTGGTGTGAAATAGTTTCTTCAAGCGCCGTGGTACGCTGAGGCGCGGCAGGCGGGCAGCGCGAAACGCGCATTGGCGCCTTCAAACCTAACAGGGATACTTCACGCGTTGCGCAATGCGTGAAGTATCCCTGTTAGGTTTGTAGGCGCAAGTGCGTCGCCGCTCCACGTTGTGTTAGGCTCTAATATTTAATTTGGCGGAGTTATTCAACTCATGATTTTGAAATGTTTGCACATCCTGTATGGATTATTCTCATTTTAATTGATGAAAAAAATATGTAGTAGATATAATGTGTGTTTTGTAAATATTAAGGTGGTTCCGTATCAAACTTAATGCTTTCCAAAGCACACGAATTTCCACACAATTTCTTATAGCCCTTTATAATCGATAGCGAAAAAGCAACAGCCAGGCGATAAAGTGTAAAGCCCGGCGCTAGGAACTATAGCCCGGCTGCATAATTTGTTATCACTTCGTATAGTCCGTATGATTTTCTCCACATTCTACAGCCAGCTATATGATTTTCTGTAGCCTTCTTTAGTCGGCTATAAGAATTCCTATGGTATTTTGAAACGCAGCTCTTATGGCCAATTTTTACCAGGGTGGTCCTTGGTAGCAGTGACCCAGTACCCCCCTCTTCTTGAGGGTCTGGGCCCCGGTAGCAGGGACCCAGTATCTTCCCCCTCCCCATGTGGCGGGCCTGCGCCGAAAATCATTCTTCAAAATCTGAAAACAAAGTCAAAAGTATTGAAATTGGTTGCAAAATGGAAACATACTTTTGACTTAATTTTAAGATTTTGGGGAATGTTTTTCGGCACGAGCACTCTTTAGCGATCAGCCTACCGACTGATATTTAGTTTCCATCAAAATAATGCACTTTAAGGTTAAAAGCTGAGATATATTGGTCATACCCAGAATGCATTGCGCAAAAGCTGGAGATCCACCTCAAGTTGTTGGCTGCGAAGAACCTGTTAATCGAGCCTTTCCCATAGGTTTAAATGGCAGATGAATCGATGTATCGCAAAGGACGCTACGCCACTAGGCAAATCCAATATTGCACCTCTTCCTTATCTAGAGACCGGATAACTCCGTTTTTGATTTGTGTTATATACATAATTCACTTCTTCAACGACGAAAAAAGAGCTTTCGTTACATCGTATGTCGCGGTATGCGGTGATAATAGCGATAGGTCTCACCAAGTACTTAAACTTTTGTGCGGCGTTGCCGGAATAAACAAAAAATCATTTTCAGATCATAAAGCACTTATTATTTTTACTATATCGATGGGTGCACGTTGAGTCGTTGACCCTCCGGTTTCGCGGCCAGACAGCAGACGTCTAAAATTTTTAACCGCGAATGTCGGTTGTTTGGAGCGAGGTCATTTCTGTGAATGGATCCCATCTGTTTCATCACGTCAATTTTTAGTGACGCTACTCTGAACGTGGAACCAGTGTGTGATTTTGAACACCGGATTGCGGGAAATTACATTGAAATTCAGAAAAGGGACTAAAATTCGGTGTAGTGTGGTTCTGTTTTTAGTCGATACCGGGCCTTGTAAATGAAACGATGTGTGGCTTAATGAAGTGCCTAAATGTAGTTTCTGCAAATATTTCCTCAGTGACTGCGTTGGAAAACAACGGAAATGAGCGTCAGTACAACCGCGATCATCACACCTTATGCGCTGGTGGCGATGCTGCTCTGGCACAGACAAGTAGGTTTTTTTCAGTTTTTACCACGCGCATTTCATCCATAACTACAGGGCTCTACAGTAGTCACATTTCTCCCACGCCAATTGAGCCCTCTGCTGAATGAAGTGGGTAAGTCATTTTTATTTTCCGAGAGGGAGAGAGAGCGAAGTAAGTTTAAAGTTTGAAAATGATATTGAATTCTGGGGCTCTCATAAAGTTTGAATTTAAGTTGGGCATCTAGAAATTGCGTTATGAATAAAAACAACTACTTTGCAGTGGCGAGGCGTGAATAATCGATAAACGATATTTCCCCATTTAAAACTATGCTAAAGAATCGATTATTAAGGTGTTGGTCGCAAACACCCTGCTTATCGATCCTTTTCCGTAGGATTCTATGGCAGACCAATCGATACATCGCAAATTTTGCCACGTCACTGCCTCTTGTGATCGACGGATCCAACTAGACAGCTTCAATCGGTCGCCATAGTTGAAAAATGCGTGTCTGTATAGCAATGTTTCAAACTCTTCGACTACGTCCTATTTCTCTAAAAAAGAAAGCCAACAAAAATGTCTCCTTGGAATTTTCGGTATATATTTTTGAGTGATCGAAGAGATACAGAAAACAAGGAAAAATGTTGCGGTCACTCGAGCGGAAATTTATAATGTTGCAATCGGAAATACGCATCTTCCGACTATAACCATCGATTAAGTGTTGCCTTCTTTCGACTCGTATTTTGTTTTTCCACACAGTGACGTATGCAGGATAAGGTTCTGGGGGGGGACCTCTTACCGGGGGGTCTAGGGGGTATGGTATACCCCCCAGGTGCAGCGGGTCCGGGGGTCACCCCCGGATATTTTCAGGATTTTAACTCCGTAAATCCCCACTTTTTAAAAATTTCTGTCATAAAAAGTGATGAGAGGCTCTCCACTATTTTGCCCCAAAAAGACCTTTAAACAATAGAAAACCGTTCATATAAGACCAAATGGGATGTTTTGTTTTAAGTATGAGATGGAAGAAATCCACTAACTTCCTGAAGAAAAAATGAGGCTTTTGAGGCGACGCTTGAGTTCGAAGCCCTTTCGTCCGACTTCGAATCCTTCCACTCGTTTCTCTAGACGAAAATATCGTCTTCTCTCTCCAACCGATTGTTTTTCCTTTCCCTTGATTTCTCTTCTTTTTTTCTATCTAAGTTCTATCTAGTATCTATCTGTGTTTTGTTCTTTTCTATCTTTTTTTGGGGCTCNGGGGGGGGGGGGGGGGGGTCCGGAACACCCCCCGGTAAATACGCCACTGTTTCCACAGAAAGCTGAACGAGGTATACACTATAAAGTTCCTGTACATAAAAAAGAGCATGCCTGGTTACGAAATTTCAAACAGAATACAGTTCAGTTTTGTTGTATGTACGTAACTAGGAGGTAAAATTATTCTCGGTCCACATCATCTCGCCTGGAAAACAAAGCCATTTTAAGACCTTGTTTCTTACGATTCGGACCATTTCTTAGTGTTTTGTTTTGTTTTTTCTCTTGATTTGTTGTAAGTAAATAAATCATGGAGAGTATAAATTAGAAAACGTAAAATGTAGTGTGGCTTTCAACTCATTCATTCATCAGAGGCTTAAATACGAATTTAGAATGGGTCTCTAGCGCTGATAAGAATGGTTCAAAAGTCGATCGACTAAAAATTGAAAAACTCTGAATTTCACGGCAATTAAGTAACATCATATTTCACAGCATATCAGTCGTCAGTTTTTCTTTATTCGGAAAATATTTAGAGATGACTAAATTGGCACAGGCACGCTAGCTTGAATATGAATAAATCATAAATAATCATCATCGATCATACACGAGAAGTCTAACTAACTGTCCATCAATTTGCATGGTAGAAAAAAATAAATAACCACCAGAAACGTTAGTAAAAAGATTATTTACAACTTCGTCGCGAATCGCTCTGTCTTTCGATTAATCATTATCATTCGAGCCGATGCTTCAATATTACTAATTGTGAATAACTTCATTATCAGACTTACTTATTTATCAGTGTGTGAATTGCTACTATGTTGCCTTAGCTAGTCTATCTGGTGGAGCCCAGTGCAGTGATTGTGTGATAATAATTGGGGTCAGGTCACCATTCAATTTTTGATTAATTTGTTTGCGTTTTTGCCGTTGGTAGCTCATAAGTCCTGCTTTTTAGCGTTTATCATTTTTTTGGCCTTGTTTTACTATTGTCAGTTATTCTTTTCCTTTGTCCATTTTTTGGGTCTTACAATTTTCATATTTTTGCATTCTTTTCATTGGCGGATCCAGCAAATTGACAACATTGTTTTCCCCGTTTAAACCAATGGAAATTGATCGATTCTTGGTGGGGCCAGATGCTCCGACGAGAATCAATTATTAAAAACAGGCTTTAATTGAGAAAATTCGGTGTTGACAAATTGCCGGATCCGCCTCTGAGTATTTTCGACACCCCGACTACCCCTGTCGTAATGCAGGACGAACTTTCTTTTTAAGGAGGATTTCTCGGGGTTTTTCAATAAGTGGGCGTGATAGCAGAGACCACAACTGGAACTGGAATATATATGGTGAAACTCGAAAAGCATGTACCTTAGTAGGTAATGGCATTCAATATTGACGCTATAAATAAATGTATTTCTTCAAGCGCGAATGTCACATTTCGTTTTGACGTTGAATTTTCATTGAATGTTCTGGCAAGTAAAGAAAAGTATTACACAAAATGCCGTGCATTATTTTTGAGCAGTAGGTATTCTTCAACGTAGAGAAAAATGACTCGAAATATGCACGCTGCAGATCGATATTCGTGTTTCCTAAAGTCATTATCGTCCCTCAGCTTCTAGTACAAATTTAGTGTTATTTCAGGGGATTTCCAGCGGAAATAGTTGTGACTCCTTTCACGATCACATCAATATAATAGCGTATATCAACACAAATTAAATTAGAAGCACGAGTAAAACGCACCATCCTCAGCATAATGCCCCTGCCGGGGAAGAGGGCACCATAATTTGGGTTGTAACGCCTGCATGCAACTACTCGTGCTTGAAGGACGTTCATATTACTTACACTATAAAATGAAGGCGGATCATCTTTCTTTTTCTATCCTTTTTCGCTACACTCTTCGAGCATCTCCTGCTCCAAGAGACGTCAGAAAAATGAGCAAACGAGGTAAAATGATATGACGTCACTAATTTTCGACGTTGACATTGCGTTAATCTATTAGTACGGACAGTGTGGACGGCTGATTTGCGACTTAACCTCTGAGGTCGCCATCTACTTTTAACCTTTATTTTATAAATTTTTAAATTAGAAAAAAAATTCAATTTACATTGATTGATTTCAGGTGCATTGATCCAAGAAATTGAGCTTTCAACCACCCTTTAAATATACCTAGATAGAGGGCTTCATCTATGTCCCAGCCTGTAAAATTTGAGAGGAGTCGTTGAGAGTTCGTTTCGGAACAAGTTCTGTACGTCACGCAAGCAAGTGTGACATGAAAGCTGGATGATTGGCAGGTACATTTGTGAAAGTGATTTTGAATTGCGCACAAGGCTTTAAACCTGTATATGTGTCCTGAAACACTTGTGGCTTTTTAATACTAGGCGGCTTGAAAACATATGTTGCTTTCAAAGTCAAGGCTTCCTGAAATCTGTGGTTGTCACTTATATTGAGAATGAAGCATATTTTTACTGTAAAAATTACTTTAAAATTATTCGACTATAGGATTGAATACGGAGAAAGTATCTTCAGTAGCTACCTCACAAATCGGCAATTTCTTCCGTGGCGCTGATATGTAAACAAGCAACGTCAACGTTGAAAAATAGTGACAAAAAGGGCACTGGAAGGTCTACTGTTAGGCCATGTAATAATCTTCCATCAGGGGATACACCCCCATACTCTCCCTTCTGAGATGATTCTAGATCAAGTATAATGTAGATGGCAATGATTCACGATGTGATTAGGTCAGTAAGCGCCTCGAGAGATTTCAAGCCACTACCGTAGAGTTACACTACGTAACATTCTTTTTTTTGGGGGGGGCCATGTCTTCATAAATTCACGTTCTCGTAAGTTCAAACTGAGCATACTGAAAGATGACAATCAGCGAGTAAGTGACCTTCCTCGACTGTACTATGCCATCAGACAAGTTACATATTTTACCAAGCAGGGCATCCCAGAAACACTTCTTTTTGCAAATTCGGATTAAAAATAAATCATAAGATTTGGTGTCACTTTTGGACACAAGAACAAACACAACTAGCTTTTATTCACCGCAACATATTTCAATGAAATCAATTCGGCGTGTCAGAAAGGACAGCACATTGCAATGCAAAAAGAAGGTAACCCGTTTTAATTTTATTGCAATAAGTTTCAATGAAGTAGGAGCCCCTTCAAATGAGAGATAGGCAACATACACGACACTCCAATGGAATCAATCGCCATTCATTTCGTTGCTTTCTGTTCTACGTGGTCTGTCCGGAAAGTATCAGGACTTTTTGATTATCTCGGAATGTAATGCATATAATGAGCTGAAACTTGGGTTGGACTTTGCCAATGTCCATTCCAATGCAGCCACACAATCGGGCTTTCACACCTTTAATCATTCGATTGCAATCAACTGATCAAAGTGTGTGTGTCAAGTGCTATCGTCGCGTTTTTTATTTTTCGTGAAATGACCGAGCGTGAAGATCAGAGAATTTGTATTAAATTTTGCTTTAATCTAGAAAAAACTGCCAAGGAGAACATGGAAATGATTCGGAAAGCTTGTGGCACTGATTCTATGAGCAAGAGCAATATTTATGAGGGATATGATCGCTTTAAATCGGGTCGTGAAACAGTCGCTAGTGATCCGCGGTCCGGGAGACCTTCGTCGACGAATTCTCCCGATAATGTGGAAAAACTTCGGGAAACTATTGCCCAAGACAGTCGGTTAACCATGCGGGAACTGGAAAAGCAGCTAAATATCCCGAAGACCGTCGTTGCGGAAATTTTAACTGAAAAACTCGGGCTCCGTAGAGTGGCAGCGAAATTTGTGCCAACGCTCCGGCTCATTCCTCCTGTCTTGTGCAACAGTTTTTGGGCAAAGCTCGGTATTCCTCTGGTTCCACATCCTCCATACAGTCCAGACATAGCTCCTTGCGACTTCTGGCTGTTCTCAAATATGAAATCTCCAATGAAAGGGACTCGATTTGACTCCATCAATGACCCAAAAGAGAATACGACGAGAGCGCTGAAGGACATCCCAAAGGAGTGCTTTTTGGACTGTTTTGAACAGCTCAAAAATCGCTGGAACAAGTTCATTGTGTCTTACGGAGAGTACTTCGAAGGAGATTAAAGCCACAATGTCATAGGTAAGCTCGATTTCTCAAAATCTAAAAAGTCCTGATACTTTCCGGACAGACCACGTACTTGTGTTTAACTGATATTTTTTCACGTATAACGATGGCGTAAGTCCGCAAGCACATCGTTTGCGGTGTCTGAAAATCTCCGCCTCTGTGTTATTTTTTTATAGGAGAAAAAAATTGACATCAGCCCTTGAAGTTTTTGCAGAATTTTCTTCCTACAGAGAAGAAAAATCACGGCATTTTTAAAGAATTGCCGTTAAGTTTTCCGTTTAAAAAATAGGTAAAGTAAGACATCAGGAGGTCTACGACGTCGAAAACCGAGTTATGTGATTGCCGACTTACACCGTCGATAAGTTAATTTTGAACATATTCAAAATGCCCAACGTGCTATTCGTGAAATGTTTATGGGACAGTATACCATGTGGTGCGTGCTTTAATTATTGCCCAAACTACTGGTCCATTATTCAGCGGTTTCTTTAAAATGTTAATCAAGGGTCACCAATTTCAACTACAACCCTCCAGATAATGTGCTATTACTGTCATCTGCACAGAAAATTAGTTTCCATACTGATAATTGTATTCTATCTAATCCGTGATTAATAAAATAAATATGCAATTTTAACTGTTGCAGAGGAAGGAATGTCGTTTTTGCAAACCGTCTTGGTCGCGGGCACCAGCATTATGTGCAATTATTCTGTGCGTCGGAACATTTGTAATATTCTCCATCACCACTCGAGGCTACTCAGATCCTAACAAAGGTAACGAGACGTACTTAAATAACTGTCCAATTTACAATAAAGTCACAAGGTGTCTCAACACCGCCAGGCTTCAAAAACGTGTTTTGTGTGGGTAAAAATATGCCTTTATTTCCCTGCATGAAACTTTTTTCCCAAAAGTGCCCCCGTCGGAGCTGCGTTCACCGTTCCCGCAAATTCTTAGGAAAATCATAATTATTGTTTTAGATTTTTAGGACGGTTGTAGAAGAAAACTTATATATATGGAAAATAACTACCTCCTCTTTACATTTTAGCGAGGATTCGATTTTGATTTGCGCCTCAAACGTATCGAAATCTCGAGTTGAAAGGGTATTCTATGGGGCATGGGGGAGGGGGATAATGATTTTTCCACCCTGGAAGATTCAAGACACCTTGTAATTGTCATTTACTTTGAGATTTCGATATTATTTACTGTGCGGATAAATTAAGTGTTTATTAACTCGTTTTAACTTTTACTGAATTTTCAATACGATTTTACAATGGTGAAAAGAGAAAATTTCAGAAAATTCACTCGATCGTTTCCTCTCTAAAATAATGAATTAGTAGTGGACAGGGTTGGACTGGTTCTTATTTGAGGGCGTGTAGACCCTTGGCTGGTTAAAGGGGCGTAATGTGATATTTCCCGGTAGGGCGTCCCCTTCGTGGAGAGGGGTTCAGACAATTTTGGGAAAGCAGCACAAGTTTACGCTATTTTTAGGTCCAAAGTCGATTAATCATGCAGAGTAAAACTTTCAAAATTTAACGTATTCAAGTAACCGACAGATTTATGAAAATAAAGAAAAAATAAAAAAAATAAAGCCACTAGGTGCATCCAAGCACCATTATTTCCAAAAGAACCGAGCCAGTGCTCGAGCACGAGCTTTTACACGAGCTTAAGACGTGGGTCTGCACATCCATCCTGAAAAAGAATTAGATATGAACCTGAAAAAAGAAAAAAGAATCGAGTACCAACACAGCCGAAGACGAGAGAGACGTATTCGAGCCTCTTTTTTAACTTTTCTCCCGAATCGGAGCGACACCTCATTGGCAGCATATAACAGAGCATTGAGAGTTCACGCATCGCGTCATTGCGCCTTCAATTTTTCAGATGCAGCACGGACGTCCATCAGGTACGAATAGTTGTATCTCTGCGCCGTCGTAAACGCGCATCCTTTCCCTCGCTTTATTTCCATATTGTGTTCGTTCTCGTTTGTCTTATTTGTCGTTGTGCTTCAAGCACTACACTCAAGAACGAGTAACACAGCCGAAGGTAGGGGACATGTATTTCGGCCTCGTTTTTCAACTTTTCTCCCGAATCTATCCAGCAGTATGGAGAAGAGCATTGAGAGTTCACGACTCACGCCATCGCGCCTTAAATTTTTCAAATGCAATATTGACATCCATCTTGAGCGAATATTTGTATCGCGTTTAGGTGTCTCTCATTTTTGAAATTTGAGATAAGTTAAGGTTAAGCTTAATCAAAATATGCTATAGCATGTCTAAATCAATAGTCATTTTGAAAAGGAAGAAATATATTTAAAGGCCTCTCAAGAGCTCTGTAAAGGGTGCATAACGTCTAAAAACCGAAGCGACATCGCTTCTAAGGGAGTTATACATAGGGATTAAAGAGGGGGATGATAATGCGACTGTATGTCAAGAAAAATGTGAAAATTTCACTGAAAAGTGCTTTCGCTTCAGATAGTAGTTCTTGGAGCTGTCTATGTCACATCTTGCGCAAGAGCACCTTTCTTTACTCTGTAATCTCTCTTCTTTTGTCCCTTCACAAAATTTTCCGTATATTTTCTCGATCGTAATTTTTTTCTCTTCTTATTCTATACTATCTGTCAGAAGGGCGCGTATCTGCCAATGGCAGATTGGCCTTATGGTCAGTCCGAGCCTAGTAGTGGAGGTTCTGAAACAGCACGACTAAGAAATGACCTTCCTGCACCAAACGCCTCATTTAATTGTGATAGTGCTCCGTTAGGTTACTAACTTAAATTTTGCGGTAATGCACAAACTTGTGTCGAAGTACTACCTAAATTAATGGAGTAGCCCAGAGTCAACAGATACCTAACTTCATTTTAGTCATTGCGAGATATCAAGGAAAACTTGTGCTTCGCGCGTCTGCTTCAGTGACTTCAATGTAAATCGCAATTTTTGAAATTCCTTATCTCATAACGATAGGGCTACCAAATTTTTCACACACACGGCGCCGTTACCACAGATTTCATAAACGACAAGAACTCGATTTTTTTCATAAATGTGAGTAAGGTACCTTTTGACTCTGGAGTTGCGAATTGGAAGTGCCTGAATCATCTAATTAATAAGGGTGGTGCGGAGTGGTGCCTGGTGCCTAGGGTCGGACTGGCTCGTGTCTGAGGGCGTAGACCCTTGTCTGGTTAAAGGGGCGTAATGTGATATCCCCCGGTGGGGCATTCCCTGCGTGGAGGACGGTTCAGAGAAATTTGGCAAAGCAGCATAAGTTTACGCTACTTTCACGTTCAAAGTTTATTAATCGCACAGAATAAAAATTGCAAAATTGAACGTATTGAAGTAACCGATAGCCTTCTGAAAGTTAAGAAAAAGTAAAAAATCAAAGCCACTAGACGCACCCAAGCAACATTATTTCCAAAGGAACCGAGTCAGTTCTGCGGTTGACACGAGTTTAAGACGTGGGTCTGAAAATCCATCCTGAAAAAGAATCAGACATGAACCTGAGAAAAGAAGGAAGATCGAGTATCAACACAGCCGAAGACAGGAGAGACGTATTCGTGCATCTTTCTATCTTTTCTCGTCCCGAATCTGAGCGTTACCTCATTAAAACATATAGCGGAGCATTGAGAGTTCACGCTTCGCGTCATCGCGCCTTCAATTTTTCAGATGCGGCTCGGACGTCCGTCAAGTACGAATAGTTGTATCTCCGCGCCGTCGTAAACGCGCATCCTTTCCCTCGCTCTATTTCCATATTGTGTTTATTTCCGTTTGTCTTATTCGTAGTGGCGCTACAGGCACTACGTGAGTAACACAGCCGAAGATGGGAGAGACGTTTGGGCAACGTTTTTTCACTTTACTCCCGAACCTTACCAGCAGCATTAAGCAGATTATTGCGAGTTCACGACTCACGCCATCGCGCCTTCACTTTTTCATCTGCAATGTGGACATCCATCTTGCGCGAATAGTTGTATGGCGGGCGTTTAGATGTCTCTAATTTTTGAAATTTGAAATAATATAAGGTTAAGTTTGCTCGAAATATGCTATGGTATGTCAAAATCAATAGTCGCGTTTTGAAAAGGAAAAAGTACATTGATAGATATGTTGTTAAATATGTCTCTCAAAAACTCTCTAAAGGGTGCATACGTCTAATAATGAAACCGACCATCGCTTCGAAGGGCGTTACACATAGCGGATGAAGGAGGGGGATGAAAAAGCGCCTGCATGTCAACAAAAAGGTGAAAATTTCACAGAAAAGTGTATCCGCCTCAGAAAGTAGTTCTTGAACCTCTGTTTTCCACTATCATACGTGTCAGCACCTTTCTTTACTCCTTACTCTCTCTTCTCCCATTCGTTTGAGAAATTTTCCGCTTATATTCTCGGTTGTAATTTGTTTTCTCTTCTTATTCTATTATCTGTCAGAGGGGCGCGTTCTTGGCGCGCCAAAGGGGCGTACCTGCCAATTGCACACCGAAAAAAAAATAAAAGATGCTGCGTAGTAACATTCCGGATGTTACGGTTGTTAAAAAATGTGCGACAACTCTTGGATGTTGCTATTAACACTCAAGACAGTTAACGTAGCATGATGTTACTTTAACAGCCAGAGTGGTAATGACGACATCCAAGAGTTGTCGCACATTTTTTTATCATCCGGTGCAGTTTGACCTTATGGCCAGTCCGAGCTAGAGTACCTTTATAGACAGAGTATGGCCATTTCTGTTCCGGTTTTTCATTGGTCGCGAGCGAATAGGCTGACACGATGCTCTTAGGGCCGTAAATAAACAAACAAGATGGCCGTTTTCAGCAAGCAAGATTGAGGTTATGCACATCTTACATCCTCCTGTGATAAAGGTGAAAGGCAATTTAACAATGTTTTCATGTGTTTTTCGTGTGCTATTCGTAGATATGCTCGTTTAAATTGTTACTGCCGCATAATTGAAATTTTTGTCAAATTTAGCTTCTCATCGATGTTACGATGAGCCGCCATCTTGTTTGTTTATTTACGGCCCTAAGAGCATCATGCAGCCTAAAAACTCGTTGACCAATCAAAAAGCGGAACAGTTTTCCTGTAGTAAAAAGATACGAATGGCCATACTCTGTCTATAAAGGTACTCTAGTCCGAGCCTGGTAGTGCCAGAATTGTAGAGTATAATCCCTGACACTTTTTTCCGTGTAAAAATTCTTGAGTGTTTCTACTTATTTGTTTGGACTGACAGCTGTGCTGGGATGGGAGCCAAGTAAGAACCTTTCGGTGGCGGCGTTTCTGGAGACTGTCGACGTCAACGGGAGGCGTGAGGATAGTGAGAATGGCTCCGTCTGCGACTCCGAGTTGCTTCTGCTGGTCGTCGTCTGCTCGAGTCCGGAGAAGGAGGCGCTCCGAACGGCCATCCGCCAAACCTGGGCGTCTCTTCAGGATCAATCCGTCAGGGTTGTTTTTCTCCTTGGACATCCCCTGCCGAGTCACGAATCCGCATACGTCCAGGTAAGAAATTACGTTTTTTTTCATGATACAGGGTGTCTAGCATGAGCATCAGGATTCTCCAGATTTTCCCGATTCTATCAGGAATTGAGGTCAATCAGTATCTAATCCCGATTTCACCAGGGTTTCAGGAAAAATCGGTCGTAAAATCAGGATTTGAGAATAGTCGGCTGTCCGATCGGATTTTTTTACGCTCTCGCATACGCTCAAATTTAAATTTTTTTCCCGCATAAAATCGGGATTTGATCAGGATTTGGAAAAATTATGAAATCAGGACTTAGCAGTCAAAAATCAGGATTTCATCAGGATTTCCCGAAATGAAAAAAACTAGACACCCTGATGTGCTGATGTGCACACTATGAGTGTGCACGCTCTGATTTAAACATGTCTTTGCTTATTATTTTGATCTATTTAAGAGCATCTTTCAACGGAAAAATTGCGATATTTTGAATTTAGGTGGTTTTAATTTTTTTACGATTTTTTCGCTATGAAAGTACGAGGATCATCAACATCCGGGCGATTATCCTTTATCTTATCGCAATTTTATCTCTATAAAAGTGCGTTTGATAAAATCGAAATTTTATCTCAATTTATCACGATTTCTTGTTCGATAATAGTACGATAAAATCGCGATGTAATTGTAAAGCTGTGCGATGAAGTTGCAATTTATCGTAACTTTTTATCCGATTGGTAATATTGCAATTCATGAAATCAATGAAATCGCGATGAATTCCCCGATCAAATCGCAACTTATCGCGATCACTAATAATTGGGTGTCCCCCTTTAAAATTTGCTGATTCCAAAAAAATGTTGGAGTTTTGGAGACAAGATTTGGGCATGACGTCACCGTCACAGCCATGGGTTACACTGATAATGGGTCTAATCTGACCCGAAATGCGAATGATCGATTCGATATCTGCATGCATATTTGAAGCTGTGGTAGAGAATCGATTTTTGAGGTGTTCGTTGCGAACACCCTGTTTATCGATCCTTTCCTATAGGTTTAAATGTCAGATCAATCGATTTATCGTGAAGTACGCCACGCCAATGGTTGATGGGAAATGTCGCCCCATATTTAACAGTTGTTTCCTTTAACCCTCGTAGCACTGTGCAGCAAATGCGTAAAAATAATTTTGCAATTTTTTTATAGAAACGGTGCGATAAATTAAGAATAACTGAAATTCTCATTACAGAGGGGAAAAACTCACCCGAGCACGATATTTCACATAGAATAATGCTAGGAGCAGCAAATGTTCGGAGCGACATTAGTTACAACCGATCAGAAATCAGATTTTTTTTTTTTTTTTTTTTTTTTTTTTTTTTTTTTTTTTTTTTTTTTTTTTTTTTTTTTTTTACCATGCAATTTCAATATTTTCACATGATCAGGCCAATAATGCAGATTTTAAAAACTAATAAAATACGCACCATGCGTGAGATAGGTAAGTTATTTGCGATGCCGAAAAATGCAACATATTTAAATTTAGTTGCAAAAAATTCAACAAGTAGGGCCCCTTTATTCAGTGAATAGGCTACGTGCACAACCTTCCAGTGGAATGGCAATAATTTTACCATGTAATTTCAATTACCTAATTGTACCGCATGTTGCTTGGGAAAACGAATATTTCTGTGTTTACAGGATAAGCATCATTGGTATGACGTCCGATCGAAATCTTGTCTCCAAACTTAAAGGTGCTTTATACCCAACTGTCACTAATCATAATGTTTACCTGAAAACCTCGCTGACTCCTGGGTGCTTCTCAGTAGCTATGTTTTCTCGATCAAAATAAGTCAATTAGAATGAGACATCCATGCAACTTTTGAGTGTAACCCATCAACATAAAGAGGCGCATCTACTTCCCGCCTCGATGACCTTGTCATTTCAATTTTTCAGAGCAGAATATCGAGAGAAAAAGAGATGTACCAAGACATTATTCAAGAGGATTTCATCGATTCCTACAACAACCTAACTATCAAATCTATCATGATGCTCAGGTGGTTCACCAAGAACTGCGAACGAACCAGTTATTTACTCAAGACTGACGATGATATATTCTTGGATTTCCGAGTCTTGAATCAGTCCTTGAGGCGGCCTTTTCCGAAATGGATCGCGCCCGACAATTTTCTCGGCGGAACTTTAATACGAGGCGCGAGCCCAAATAAGGACAACAACGATAAATGGTTGGTGAGCATTTTACAATTTTCCTCAAAGTTAAAATCTATTTCCCAATGGAAACTTCATCATAATAGAATCGTGTCGTGCGAAAACCGCTAATGTCTCTTTGCGCAGGATTTGGTTTTGTTAGGTTAAAAATACTTTTCAAGAACCGATCTAATCGTAAAGATGCTGCGAGGACCTTTGTGGGGATTAACATAGCCCGGAAACGAGGGATTTCACCATTTCCATGGTCATACAGGGTTACTCAAAAGTCACGCACCACTGGCCATGAAGAAGGTGGCCATTTGAAATTTTTGAGTTTCTCCCTCCCTTCCCCCCGAGGGGATCAAAGTACCTAAAAAAGTTTCCCCCTCGATATGAGGGAAAACGTCTTAAACCCAAAGTCGATATCCAAATTGGTCGTATTTTTGTCAATCGGAACTAAGCGTCAAAGGGGGGGGGAAGGGAGAGGGGCTTGGATTGGCGGCGGAACCGGGCGTCGGGCTCACTCCGTCCTACGCTCGCAATGCTTTTCCATGACACTTAGTTCCGTTTGACAGAACGCGCTATCCGGCATTCTAAATCCCTCAAAAGGAGCTCAAGTTGGCGCTTAGTTCCGTTTGACAGAAATACGCGTCCAATTAGAACTAAAGTTATCGCCAGTGGTGCGTGACTTTTGAATAACCCTGTATCAAACCGTGAAAAGTATCATCAACCCTAAAAAACCGAAGACTCGAAAAAGGGACTTTAGCGGCTTTTGAATGACACAATTCAATTTTGTTTAAATTAAAATTCACTTTTTCTGAATCTTCAAATATTTTTTTTTCAGTTAAGAATAAATAACCCTGCAATATTTACGTTTGTTAATTTAATGAAAAGAAGAAGAAGAAAAACCTTACGTGGTGCACTAATTTTAATAAATATGTATTTTCAATCTCCTTTTAGACATCACCTAGAGCCATCTGGATGAATGTCAACAATTATCAACAACTGCTGTTTGGATAATACCGACATTACCCGGCCATATACAACATTACCTGTAAACGCATACTTGATGATTGTCAGTGAGTAGTGATCTGAAATTACTTGTTTCTCTTTCTAGGTTCATGCCTAACTATCTGTATGCAGGCTCTAAGTATCCCAATTATTTGTCTGGCACAGCTTACTTGATGTCACGTCAAGTAGCAGAAAAACTGTTCACAGCATCGTTTGGAGTCAACATGATTCACATGGAGGATATTTACATCACAGGTGAGTGGTGATGTAAAATGCACCAGAAGTACTGTCCGTTTGAGCGATCAAACATTGTCAAATTCTCCTTGATGTAACATTTATTTGGAAGAAAATATACGTTGGTGGATATTTCCACTTGAAGTAATTAAGTATACTACGATAAAAGTGCAGATGAAAACCTGAAAAAAAGCTGGAGAAATCAATTTTGAGGACTTCCGAAGAACTCGTAAGTGGAGTTCTTTATGTAAGAGGGAACGTTTTACGATTTAATTCGTTAAACTATGGACACATGCAAAATTTTATGAGAATCACATGCATGCATGGTAGCATTGATTATGCCTGAAGTAAACTCCCGAGCTCACAAAAGCTCTCGAAATTAAAGCTGCCGTTTTTAGCCTCACCTATTCGCACACGCAGCGACAAAAGCCTAGGGCATTTTCAAACTCATTTCGATACTCTCCTGTCAAAGATACTCTTCTTCACAAAAAAAAACCAGCCTCAACTTTGAGAGCTATTTTTGAGCTTTGAAGTTGATTCCAAAGAAAACTAGTGGCACCATCATGTTTCTCGCGAAATTTTTTTTTTTTTTTTTTTTTTTTTTTTTTTTTTTTTTTTNTCCCTACTGAACCAGTCCCAGGCAACAATTGTTTGAGACCATCAAACTCGGGTCGACTGGCCGGGAATCGAACCCGGGACCTCCCGATCATAGAGCAAGCGCTACAACCACTACACCATAGGAGGCCGACCATAGGCCATATGGCCATGGTAGGCCATAGGTGGTCTTAATTTTACTTAGGAATTAGTACTTAAATCGTAAATAGAGAATTTGCAGGTGTCTGAAATTTGATTTTCGTGTTTAAGCGGAAACTACTGAGTGAACGGAACACGAGGATACGTTTGGTTCATGAAATGAACAATTATTGGAGAGGATATGACAGACTGATCTAATTTGCCAAAATCCGTGTGTTCAAATGGGAAATGCCGCCAGATGACGTCACTGGGCGGTGCATTTTTTCACTTTTAAATCTATTTTTATACCATGTCCCATATCAGAAAAAAATTATAAAACATACTGTGAAATCATCTCTTTAAGCACTTTCAGATGAAGCAATAAAAATTTTCGGTGGAAATTCTCCAAAGCTGGCACGTGCAAGAGCATCATTCCGGAATCATACGAATACTAACCACTATTAATTAAATTTCAGGTCTATGTGCTCGGAAAGCGGGCGTGAGACCCTTCTCGTTATTCGGATTCACGCTATCAAAGGTGAAACGCATGGGATGTAAGTCACGTCACATCATGAGTCACAGGGTAACCCCGGCAGACATGTACCGCATATGGAACACCCGCGCCGCTTGCTCAGAATTTTACGTCACATCAATTTTTCAGGATAGACAATTCGGACTATGGGAAAAAGTCGCAAATAAACTCCATGGAGGCAGATGATAAATACACTTCATTTTCCAGTGAGGAACCACGATTGAATCAGTGAGAACGAAAACACACCAACTCGAAAAAATGAAAATAATCAAGGCACACACACAACTGCATATTATGTGAAGAAGTTAGTCTGAGAAAAAGATTTTTGGTGCCTGAAAATTGTCTGTCCTTAGTGAAAAGAGAGCATTTTCGAGGTACCGAGTTGATGTGTTTTCGTTCTCAATGATTCAATTCTTGGCTCATCCGTAATCATTGTTCGGAACTTATCTTTGAGTTTTAGGAGTCGTGTGGCGCATAAAGCTTCATTTACAGGGGCCATTGAAGATTTTTTAGCGGCCAAAGTAACTCTTTGCCTATATTAGGGCGCATCTAGTGTAAAGTTAGACGCAAGATGTTTTAGTTACAAAACTAGTAGCTGTAACTTAAAGGTGATTTCGAAAAATCACCAAACAGAAAAATTTTGATTTTTTTTGAGAGGGGGAGGGGAGACGGGGGCAATTTTTAGGGGCCACGTTGGCGCAGAGCCTTCATCGACATGATCGATTTCTTAGGCGCATTTGGAGCGTTGGCGCCTGTGAGTTTCGAACACTGTCCGTAATAACATTTATGTGCGTAGGGAATAACTAATGGTACCTACGTTTTTTCTAAACTGAGCCAGAAACTGTAGTTCCTAATTGCAAGTTGGACTCTAAATGTTGAAAGAATTTCTTTCTGTCTCAATCAAGGAAGACTCCGTTTGTCATGCGAACTCGCAATATGTTGTCATTGGCTGCTCGTTACCCGACGCGATTGTATTTTGTGATTGTCCATTGTCCATGAGGTCCATGAGGTAACATACCTTTTCCCATAAACATTAAAAATGAAGTCATGGCTACGAAAGCATAGAAGGATGTTTCACGAACATTTTCCCCCAGCTGGTTAATTGGTTAATATTCCGTTCGGACCCTCAGCCATCGACAGACTATTTTTACTGCCTGTAGACATCGAAGCATGGCTGTTCCAAAAATTTTTGGAACAGCCATGCTCCACGCTTTCAAATTTTCAGGGATTAGGGTCGAGTAGAAACTGTTTCAGCAGATCCATTCGTTAGTGGCGTGAAAAGGACTACGTGCAAAACGGGTCATTTGGGGCTCGGGGCGGATACCTTTGAGACTTGCCCTATTCATTCACCTAACAATGCCCCATCTTTTCCCAAAGTTTCAAGCCCCCCAAAAATTTTGGGGAGACGCGGCGGGGGGTCAAAAATCAAAACCGGCAAAATTTTCGCGAATTTATTACTCGAAAACCAAGAAGTTTTCGTAAACGCGGTTTAAACGAGCGTATTCAGCGTGACGAGAGCTTTCAGAAAATGTATAACATCATAGGGTTTTGTCAACTTCAGCTCAAGTTATCGCCTCCGAAGCGCCGGAACGCTCAAAAGAGACCCCTTATTTTTTCACGTTTGGGCCGATTTAAAAAAAAGCCATTTTTTTAATTTCATGAAAAACTGATATGTTGTTCCTGACTCTCTGTAGCCCCTCTAGCTCTTTACCGCATGCTGGGGAAATGTTTTGGTCGCGAGTTATAAGAGCAGAAAGGAGGGAAGGTCGGGAAAATTGGCTATTTTAAACTGCGCGCGCGGCGTTGATCGGAGGGAAAACGTCCCCTCCCACTCATTTCGGTGAATCACACTCCTCTGCCAACCTCGCATAGTTGCCACATGGCTCCTGATCCGTCGCCGCGCGCAGTTTAAAATAGCCGATTTTCCCGACCTTCGCTCCTTTCCGCTCTTATAACTCGCGACCAAAACATTTCCCCAGCATGCGGTAAAGAGCTAGAGGGGCTACAGAGAGTCAGGAACAACATATCAGTTTTTCATGAAATTAAAAAAATGGCTTTTTTTTAAATCGGCCCAAACGTGAAAAAATAAGGGGTCTCTTTTGAGCGTTCCGGCGCTTCGGAGGTGATAACTCGAGCTGAAGTTGACAAAACCCTATGATGTTATACATTTTCTGAAAGCTCTCGTCACGCTGAATACGCTCGTTTAAACCGCGTTTACGAAAACTTCTTGGTTTTCGAGTAATAAATTCGCAAAAATTTTGCCGGTTTTTAACTTTGACCCCCCGCCGCGTCTCCCCAAAATTTTTGGGGGGCTTGAAACTTTGGGAAAAGATGGGGCATTGTTAGGTGAATGAATAGGGCAAGTCTCAAAGGTATCCGCCCCGAGCCCGAAATGGCCCGTTTTGCACGTAGTCCTTTGTCGCTACCACCGGGATCCGAACCCAGGATCTTTTGACCTAGAGTCAGACTCGCTGACTACTAGGCCAACTTGGTCGGCTTCAGGAAAGATTTCGACCGCAAACTCTCAAAAAGAGAGTTTTTGGGAGGTATCTTAAATCCAATTTTCCGACCCTATGAGTAGTATTACTAAAAAATTTGCCTCCATGGCCTCAGATCCCTCTTCCCGCGGATGATCATAATTTACCGATTCAGTCTTTGAATCACATTAGGATTTGTTCTGAACAATTAGAAACCCATTTTTCCTATATCTTTACTACAATACGGGTTTTTAAAATATGAAATGAATTTTGCTTGGAAGGAATTTCGATCTGCTAAATTGTCGAATATGAGCTTACGTAGCACGATTAAATCGACTAGAGTCCGCGGCTTTGGCTAGTACGCAAATGAAAATCCTTCGATCACACACAACCTAGTCAATTTGATGGCCCTTTTTGAGCATGTGCCATTGTGCCATGTGCTTCATTCGACCGCGGCGTCTTTTAGGATAGCGCCTTCATGCAACTATCGATGCAATTATTTGTGCTTGAGGGACGTCCATATTGCATACGCAGAACTTTGAAGGCGTTCTAATTTCCATTGCCCACGCTACTATAGCGTCACGCGCGTATAACTATGGGCTAAGGGCCGCACAAGTGTATTACGAAGGCAAGTTAGGGGAGGGGGATCTGAGTTTGCCTTACCGGGTCTTACGTGAGCCTTCTACACGCAAAAAATAGAACTTTTAGTAAAATTTAATTAAATCATTTTTAAAGAACATTAAATACTTTTGGATTTTATTGACTTTTAATGTAAATAAATTTTTCATTTTTTTAAAACTTTTACACTTTATTCCTCGCATATTCCTTTGTGTGTTTTGATTATGAGCTACTCGTGGTTACCAGTGTGAAAGGCAATGCGAATCATGAGGAATTCGTCAAACGAAAAGATCCGAAATTCCTATTGGGTGTCATGCAGAATTAATCTTCTTGCAAATACTTGCCCTCTTGAGACTCTCCCGAGTTGAAAATATCAACATCAGGCTCGGATACAGATGAACGGAAATGGAAATGAAAGTTTACGAACAAGTGATATCAAAACCAGCGTGTCGAAATGAATATTCAGTGCCGTATTTAGTGCGTTCCGCAAAAAAGGAAGGACGACGAATCTATGCATAGGCAGTGTGCTTTGTCGTGTCCGCGCCAACCGAGAATTCAGGAGAATTATCTCTGCTTTAATACGGCTATATTTTAATTATTTTCAATCGGAAATTTTTTTTAGTGCTTTGCAATCATCTACGTGCGTGAAAGGAGGGTATGAGACCGTGCGAGACCCTTCGGGGTGGTTTCAGCTTGAAACATTGTAAATGTTTTTCTAATGTCTCTCAAATGTCCGACTCCAACGATGATCGCGTGAAATGGATAGTGCAGTTTTCCTCGGATATCTTTAATGCTACCCGTCCGTTTCAAGAAGGTACCGATAAGCCCGACCGAAATCGAGCGATGATCTATTGAGAGACGAGATAAAATCCCGGTGGCTCGACCGTAAAGTTTGGACATTTTCAGATAGGTTAACGACTTGCTCACTGATTTCTAAACAAATCGGCTGAATGACGACGGTGCAGATCTTCAGTTTTCCTCTAACAGCTCGTCATGTTGTACATTTTCAAGCGGCTAAGAAAAGTAAGTTTCCTTTTTAGTTGAACATGATGTTACTTCAAGAAGGTTCCGAATACCTTCCTGTTCGTAAAGCGAACTCGTCTTAAGTGTAAATTCCGATTATTCGATAGACATCCCTCATCCAACTTTTTCCCGTTGTTGTGCGGGTTACACGGGTGAAAATGATCTGATCGTACCTGCTGGTGTGATTGTACGATAGCAAGTATTTCACTTCAAAAAATCATAGATTTTTCTCCAGATAGGTTTGCCCTTTTCGTGAATGTTCAATCACAGGATGTTACGTATCTAGGGAGAAAAGTACGTCCGCAAATAAAAACTCAAAATCGAGATAAGTATTTATATATATTTTTTTAATTATGCCTATACTCCAAATTATGTTTTTTAAAGTGATGTAAATTTCACCCCGATATTATTCTGGTTCGGCTTGATACTTTTCCCTCTCTTTCTCTCGTACTTATTTCAAAATGTTTGCCAAACGTATCTCTATGCAATGGCACGTATATAAATACTAGCCGTTCAAGGCGCGCTTCGCACACCCCTGACTATGATGCCCAATACATCATAGTGATCAAATGTCCAGCTACCCAGAAAAAGGGTTGTCGAATGTCGGAGATCCGGGGGGCGCAGCCCCTTGGACAGCCGCGAGGGGTGCGCGAGGCGCGCCCAGAACGGCTAGTATTTATATACATGCCATTGCATAGAGATACGGTTGGCAAACATTTTGAAATAAGTACGAGAGTCAGGGAGGGACAATTATGCAGCCGAACCAGAATAATATCGGGGTGAAATTTACATCACTTTAAAAAACACAATTTGGAGTAATAGCAACTTTTACTTTTAGTTTGTCATACTCGCGACGAATCGTCGGATAAAAATGCAATTTAAAGCTCACTACTGGCAGAAAAATTAACTGTGAAGCGCTGGCAATTTATTGTATGGGACACTGGAAGGATTTTAATCAATTCTGGAAAACCAATTTTTGACCTCATTTGACAGAATAAAAAGCTCTCTTGAATGAAATCGCCTCCGCGGATTAACAATAAGATCTCTTTTCCTATGACAAGTCACAAATGGATATTTATTACGAATTTAAGTACACATATCGACGGTGTAAGTCGGCAATCACAAAACTAGGTTTGCGACGTCGCAGACTTCCTGCCATACTTTATTTTTTAAACGGAAAACCACTCAACGGCAATTCTTTCAAACTGCCGTGATTTTTCTTCTATGTGCGAAGAAAATTCTGCAAAAACTTCAAGGAATGATGTGAACTTGCTCTCTTTTAAAAAAATAACACTGAGGCGGAAATTTTCAAACACCGCAAACGAGATATGTGATTGCGGATTTACGCCGTCGATACGTGCATTCAGTGGCGTGGCGTGTTTTGCGATGTATCGATTGTTATGCCATTTAAACCTATGGAAAAGGATCGTTAACAGGGTGGCCGCAGCGAACATCTTAATTTAGATCCTTTACCATATAGGTTTAAATGGCATAACAGTCGATACATCGCAATTCACGCTACGCCACTGTTGCTTTGCTACAATTGTTCTGGTTATTGTTCATTGATTGTTCAATATGTTTCTTGGCCAATGAACAGTGTTTACCCTTGCAATTTGCCTCTTTAAAATTATCCAATCTTATGACTTATAAGAAACTCCAAAATATTTCTGCGAGCTTAAATTTCAGCTGGAGTATTAAAATGTCTAATTTACGGAATATATATGCAAAGCCAGATTGAGAAGTACCTTTTTTCGAACGAGCAACCCGTGTTGCAGCAATATGGTGTACGCACGAGCAGATGAAAATTAAACTCAATTTGCAAAAGCTCAAAGCAATTTGGCGAACTGATCTTCTCGGCCCTTTTTGGATTTCATATCTTTTTTTTTAATTTTAGGGCGGAAATTATTTATCGGATGCTAACTACTTCCAGTAAGGATTTTTACATAATTTAATCTGGAAAATCATTCTGTTCGGTCTGTCTCTGAAATTACATTATCAATAATTTTGTAAGATAACAAGGTGCATGGCATGGCATGGCATGTAAGTCCATGATGCAGATATCTGCCTTACGCAGAGTTCCACAAAATAAGGAGGTATTTCCGACTTTTTTCATGAGATTTCTTCATTATTTTCTCACAGAAGTAACGCATCGACGGTGAAACTACAAGACCGCGTACCTCGGTTTGTTACGCCATAGACTTCCTGTCATACTTCATTTTTTGGATGGAAAACAACTCAACGCCAATTCTTGAAAACTTCCGTGATTTTTCTTCTTTGAGTGACGAAAAAGCGGTGAAAACCTCAATGAATGATATTGGTCTGTTTTCCTTAACAAAAATAACATGGGAGGAGAGATTTTTAAACACCGCAAACGAGATACGTAGTCTGGAAGTTTTACCGTCGATATGTTGTAATGGATTGCAATTATTCCACTACTGCTATTGATACAACTGCGTTGGAGTGTTGTGTATGTTGCCTATCCACTGATTGAAGGAGCCTCTCTTATTGAAGTGTACTGCAATGAACGCAAACGTCGCGCGTCGGCTGCGATTCATCAAACCACCGAGTTTAGTTATTCACTTCTAAAGAGTGTCTTCCTCCTTTAGTTGTCAGTATGTCAAGTCGAATCCGAAAGTGATCCAAATGCGTGGCGTGCTTTGCGATGTATCGACTGATCTGCCATTCAAACCCATGGTAAAGGATCGATAAACAGGATGTTTGCTACGAACACCTTAATAATTACAGTAGAGTCTCGATTATCCGCGATAATTGGGACCGGAAATACCGCGGATAATCGAAAATCGCGGATAATCGAAAATCGCGGATAATCCGAATCTACGCAAGACGGCCGGATAAAGTCATCGGTAAGACTGTATTTTAAAGGAATCAGTAAAGACACTTACCATGCATTAAAAAAGAATATAATTATTAACTAAGAATCAATAAACGTTGCCTGTTAAACAAATTAAACTTTATTCCTTGAAGAATTTCTTGGTGGAAGATTGAGTCATGGATTTGAACCTTTTTTCGACCAACCCAGAGTTGAAAGTGCTCTGACGCTTTTCTACCTTTGTTTTTAACACTCAGGTAGCAATGAAGGCCTGCACTTGCGCGTACAAATGGAAAGATGGTTTCTCCAAAGAGGAGAGGAGTGACCCCGAATTTCTCCGTTCGGTACCGGTCGCTTTCAAAATAAATAGAACGTAAAAAAAGTCAGTTCCACAGACCGCGGATAACCGAGGCGCGGATAATGGAGACTCTATTGTAATGCTTAGCCATAGCTTGAGATGGGGAAATATCGATCGATCACTCACGCCTCGTCGCTGAAACTTGACCAGATGATTGCTGAAAATGTTCGAACTGCATTTTTCAACTGAGGACTTTATTTCAGTTGTTACAGGTGCCTCAGCACCCACTTTCAAGGCCCTCTGGACTTCAAGCTGCAGGGATAAGTGCACTTTTTTTGTGTATTCTCACTTTCATCGTTGTTTCCCATGATTCTCGAGAATATGAGCAGAACAAAGGTAACACTGATTTTAAGCCAGCTGATTTCTGATAGATGTTGCAATGCTATTTTTTGAGAGGGTCAAAACTTTTGATGTGAGATGAACGGGTTATTTGTATATTCAGTTCGACCACTAAAATTGAATTTTATAATCCATTGCAGCATTGGCCGTTACACTGTAACAGTTCAGTGCTTGTTATAGTTGTTTTTGACCTCTAAATACTAAACTCTAAAGAATGATATTTTTTGCATCTAAACACTCTTAAATAGTAAAACCCATTTCTTCTCCTGCAAGAATGTTACTTCCGTAACAGTTTACTTGAAACACTCATGCAGGGTTGCCATGGTGAGGATATAGAAGAAATGTCAAAGAGAGTTTTTAGTATATTGCATTCAGGAACAAAACTTTTTGGCTAATTTTAGATAAGTCATACCCGTAATTAGTTTTCTTATACAAACGGGTGTTCTGGGCCGGAAATATTAGTTTCTTATGCAAAATATAGACCAATTTTAGATTCTTTGGAAATTATTTTAGAGTGTTTTCCATTAATAAGTAAAAGTCCAATTTTCCGAGCAAACTCGACAATATAGTGTCGGTAAAATTTTGCCATGCGGTGAATTTTGAGCAGGACCTCAGTCCACGGAAAGTGGACTGAGGCCCTCCTTTCCTCAGGGGAGTAAAATTTACAATTAGCATGTTCAGTCCCGTCCTAACATTGTTTTGCAGAGGTCCTGGGTTGGGAACCATACAAGAACCGGACAGTAGCTGCACTCCTGGCGGCCATCGATTCAGAAGAGGGCGCAGAGGAGGTGTTAGAAGGTCCCGAGTGTAGTTCATCCCTTCTTTTGGTTGTGGTCGTTCACTCCAGTCCCAAGAACGAGGAGAGGCGCATGGCCGTGCGTCACACTTGGGGCTCCGCCAACGACCCCTCTGTAAAAGTGGTCTTCCTCCTTGGAAAACTCAGAAACGAATCTACAGAATTCCAGGTCAGTTCCAATTCTTGCTCACAGAGCAAATGCTTGAAAATCAAGTTTGCATGTCTAAATCTAAAGCCGATCAGTCCAGAATTATCTTGATGAAATAAAAAATGATGAGTTTCTTAAAGGGAATCAACTTTAAATTAGGAAAAGACATGCACCAGACATGTACATACTCTAGGGTACTATAGTTTTTTCTCCACCACTATACATCTTCAAATCCTCCTCTTCCTCGGGGTAGAGCAGACTTCACAGGTTTAAATATTTTACTTTTTTCGATGCAAATTAAAATTTTGTCTAAAACTCATTATACTTAGATGACTTACGCACAATGGCCTTTTCGAGCCCATCTTCAGGTGATTAAACTGGTACGGAAAAGTTAAAAGTTCGGCGTGAAGGTAGTTGCGTCGCGTCGGCGCGGTTATTATCACGACTCTCGTTACCTCGATCAGCCAATCCCACTTCAGATTTTATTACTGCATATTCTTCTATGATTTGAGCAAGGCAGGAGGTGTTGTCAATGTTGTCACATAGCTCTCTAATTGAGTGTTAAAGAGCTCCATTGGAGCGGCCATTGTGCGTAAAGAATAAAAGTACCTAAGTCATCTATGTATAATCGGTTTTTGAATTTTTTTTAGTTTGTATCGAAAAAAGTGGTCATCGTGCCGATAAAACGTTAAAAGCATTGTGCAGTATTCAACAACATAATTAAATATTTTAGTCTCGATTAAGTTGTAATATCTCATGATTAGTTTGATTCATATAGCTCACTTTTCGACGAGTTCCAACATGCTTTGTTCTTCCAACTTCGAATTCCATCAAACTTTTTTGTTGACATTTTGTAAATTTTAAGATTATTTTCAATTTTTGTCTGGAATAATATGCTTTTTCCTTCTCGTGATACTTACGACAAAGTAAAAGTCCTTAATTTCTCAATGTATAAAACGCCCTGATGCCTTCCTTTACCTTTGCACCAATATAGACCGGATAAAACTTCTTCTGATACTTTTTAGAAAACCTGAAAATCCCAATTCCTTTACGTCCTATTTCTTAAATTTTCATGACTAATGCGAGTAACCCGTTATAAGGTGCCTTAAACCGTGAGAAATTGGGTGCAGGGGCACTCTCACGTCAGGCCAGTAAAATTAGTAATAACACGAAGGGTCAATAAGTCATAGTTTCAGAAAAAGGCTACTCACACTAATATGGAAGAACGGAACTGAATGCAAAGGGCTGGCAAAATGAAAATAAGACGCAGAAATTATATTGACTGGCGTAATTTTTTTATTTGTTAAATCAAACATTGAATATTTTGGTCCACAAGAGAAAAAAAGAACCTTCGATATGAGATACATGGGTTCGAAAGACGGTGTGTAACTTGAATTGTTCAAAGCAGCTGTTTTTTTATAATTGCAATGACATCACTATAAATAACTTGAGGCTTGGCGAGCCTTTTATTAATTGGTTGAGAGAGGATAAGCAACGACACATATTATATCAACAGTGCACTGAGCTATCAAAAGGCATCAATGAAAGATCACTCATTTAAATCTAAATTAACAAACGCAGTTATAATCAACTTGCGAGAAGTAAGCGTAGCTGTGCTGAGAGGCGTACAAGAAAATGCAAAACGCCTTCATTACTTGCACTATGCAACACAGACATCCCTCGGGTAGGTTTAGATGCATTTGCGCCTTGCGCCACACGCGCCAGTTGATAATTTCTTAGCTCTCCTGAGAAAGAGCACCGGAATTCGGGGAAAATATATATTTATCATAGGTTCTGTACTTATAAAATATTATACTGCTCGTTTAGAGGTAAAATAGTATGCAAAAATTCAAGTGTTGGCATATAAAAATTGAGGATAAACACGATCGAAAATTGTAAATTTTTAACAAAGAACTGTTCTGAAAGACGAAGTGAGAGGATCTTGGATGATTAAAAGCACTCAACACTAGCGATTCTGTTTTGTCATTCAGGAGGATTTCCGTACTTTTTCCTCGTCGCAAATATCATTACATGGAAAATCATGAAAATGTAACAGTATCCATAAAACTAACCAACCTGACGCTTAATTATTATTGAATTTTCATACAGGACAGAGTTTTTACACGATCAATTTAATTTTGCAGGAAAGAATATCAAAAGAACAAGAGTCCTTCGATGATATAATTCAAGAGAATTTTATCGACACTTACCACAACCTAACCATCAAGTCTGTCCTAATGCTGAGATGGTTCGTTCAAAACTGCAGACAAGCAAAGTATTTATTCAAGACCGATGACGATATGTTTGTTGATTACCGGGTCTTGACGAAATCCCTGAGGGAGCCCCTCCCAAAACGAATCGATCCGGGGAATTTTCTTGGGGGCGTTTTGTCGCAGGATGCAAGACCAATTAAAAACATAACAGATAAATGGTAAGCTAATACTCATTATACCCATGTAGCCAACGTACAAAGTATTTGCCTAATCTTCTCTTAAAATTTTCTTTTTGACAAGAAAAAATTTCCACGTACTCAAGTAAAGTATAAATACTCTACTTCCAGCTCTTAGAATTAAAATATGAGGAAATATGCCGAAGCAAGTGGAAAAATTGAGCAAGTTCCCTTATCAAAGGCGGTCTGATTGCTTCATAGGTGGATCCAGACACCACGAACGGAGGAGGGGCGCACGGAGAGTCCGGGGGCCTCTTCCAGAAAATTGTCAAATTTTTTAAGCATCTGATATGCAGTTTGAGTCAATTTCATCATGATTAATTACTAAATGAATCACTAAATACAAAAAGGGCACATGTCCAGAAAACCAAATTGTTCAGGAGACACAAAAAACTGTTTCTTTCGTGGTAGATATTTTTTTAATTATAACGACTTTCCGAAAAGTATCTACCACGAAATAAACCGTTTTTTGTGTCTCCTGAACAATTTGGTTTTCTGGACATGTGCCCTTTTTGTATTTAGTGATTCAAATGTAAGCGTCTCCTTCTTTCTTCCATTCCTTCCTTCTTTCTTCCTTCTCCTTTTCTTCCTCCTTTATTCCGGCGAACGGGAGGATGGCGCACTGACGGCCCCTATGCCTCCCGCCCAGTGGCATATTTACAGGGGGGGGGGGGGGGGTGCAGGGGTAGGACTCCCCCCTAGAACCCCCCAAAAAGAGAGAAAAAGAAGAGAAATCAAGGGTAAGGAAGAAATATCGGGTGGAGAGAGAAGACGATGATATTTTCGTCTAGAGAAACGAGTGGAAGGATTCGAAGTCGGACAAACGGGCCTCGAGCGTCGCCTCAGAAGCCTCATTTTTTCTTCAGGAAGTTAGTGGATTTCTTCCATCTCATACTTAAAACAAAACCTCCCATTTGGTCTTGTATGAACGGTTTTCCATTTTTTAAAGGTCTTTTTGGGGAAAAATATTGGAGAGCTTCTCATCACTGTTCATGACAGAAATTATTAAAAAGTGGGGTATTACGGGGTTAAAATCCTATAAAATCTCCGAGGGTGGCCCCCCGGACCCCCCTGCCCTTGGGGGTGTTCCATATCCCCCAGACCCCCCTTGGGAGGTNCCCCCCCCCCCCCAACCTTATCCTGCATACGCCACTGCTACATCCCTGTGGAATGTGGATCCACCCATGGATTACTTTACGTTCTGAAATTGAGGACACCGCACCAAGAACAGCCTATAGGCGTACAGGTCGTTATTACGCCCATCTGCTTTTCGGATTCTACGTACCCTGGACTATGCTGTGGTGGCGATAGAATATAGATAGGTAACGGCTCGAGGTCGAAAAACCTTTTTTTTTCCCGAGTTAAGTCAGGGCTCTGGATCGATGGGTGCAAGAACGACCTATAAACGGGCCTATAAGGTGCTAGTTACCCCTTCCTTTACTCACTATCGATATTCTTTCATTTTGCGTTAATCATGCGTGATTAAAATGATTTATACTTCATATTGCCACCAAAATGACTGTTGGGCGTAATAATGGCCTAGAAACAGCTTTTTTAAATTAAATATATGAGAGTATAAACCCAAAATGTATCGCAAAATCTACCCGGCATCCTTCAATAGAAGGGTTAGGTCACCCAAAGACACCAAAACAGGGTACCTGCCTAGAAAAGTCTGCGCAGTACATCAAAAACAAAACTTTAAATGCGTTTTTCTCGAAACGCGGTTTCCAGTTATAGGCTGTTCTTGGTGCGGTGTCTTCAATTATAATGTTAAATCAGAAGCTGTGAATGCCAATATAAGAATCGTACTGTAGTGCTCTGTTAACAAGACAACAAAGCTAACTGACATAGTTACATTACAGTCACAACGAGTCACAAGACAAAATTAATTTCAAATTTCAGGTTCATGCCATCCTACCTTTATGCTGAGAGTACATATCCTGACTATGTAGCTGGAGCAGGCTACTTGATGTCCAGCCAGGTGGCACAGAAACTTTACAAAGCTTCATTTGAGGTTGAGATGATTCACATGGAGGATGTTTATGTTACAGGTTAGTGACTAAATGAGCTTTGAAATTCGATTTTAAACGTTGAAACGCGATGAATACGTAGAGCCCTCGGCATTATGCGATTATGGTCTGATTCGTATGAAAATGATTAAATAATGACAAGAGTCACCCGGATCTTATAACTTCATCATGAATGTAAAGTAACCGCCATTCAGTCTACCGTAGTAAGGAAAAACACAATATGAACCTCCAGGCGTTGCTAAATTTCCTCCAATGGGCCTGTTGCATGCAAGAGATACAGCCGCGCGAATGAACTTTTTAGAGGTTGAATGACACGAAAATTACGATGGTCACATTAAAAAAGTCTGAAATACACTCCTTACTGCGCAATTTGCGTTGTTAGGAACGCGCTTTTTCAAATTTCCCGCGTCTGGGGGCAGTTTTCTAATCACCGGAAACGAGCAAACGGCGGGCTCGGTGATTTCCGGAAGATGCCGAGTCGTTGTTGTTGTTATTACTTTTTCCTTCAGTTTGTTTACAAACCCATCGTGATCTCCTATAGTGGTCCATATACGCTTTATGCGGTAACCAAATCGATCAACTTTTAAATATCCAACGCAATCCTTCTACATTTCATTTCACGATGTTACGAGCTCCGATTTTTAGGTTATGTTGTCAGTTTTAGTTGACCGGAAATAGCCGCGAGTTGCCGTTAATTGTTTCTGTTAGAAAACTGCCCCCAGACGCGCTTAACTACACTAAGCGCGTTCCTAACAACACAAATTGCGCAGTAAGGAGTGTATTTCAGACTTTTTTAATGTGATCATCGTAATTTTCGTGTCATTTAACCTCTAAAAAGTCTATTCGCACGGCTGTATCTCTTGCATGCAACAGGCCCATTTAACACAAATCTCCTAGTGAACTAATGAACATTTTTCTTCCATTTTCTCAGATAGTGTTACTCGCAATTTCACCTAGAATTACTGGAAATTTCAAAGAAAAGTATTCAAAACTTTCCTAAAAAATATATTTTATCAAGAGGAACTTGGCAACTCTTAAATGTTCATACGCCGTTTTTCCTTAGCACGGCAAGTATTCTCCCAAATGTCACCTATCAAAAAAGGATCTTTCCTCTCGTTGCATTTATCTTGAATAGAAGAAAGGTACGGATGCTTCAGGGGTGGAAGTCCACCTTTTATTTTTACTATTACTATACAGACTGCTTTCAAAATGACGACTGTTATGTATTCTGCGAAGTTCTGTGTCAAATTAAGTTTTCAGTATTTTGTATATCGACGGTGAAATTACCAAACCACGTATCTCGGTTTGCGACGTCGCAGACTTCCTGTCATACTTTATTTTTTAAATGAAAAACTACTTAACGTCTAGTCTTGAAAATTTCTGTGATTTTTCCTCTTTGTGCGGAGAAAATTCTGTGAAAATTTCAAGGAATGATATTGATTTGGTCGACTTCAAAAAAATAAAATGCGAGCGTAGATTTTTAAACACCGCAAACGAGATACGTGGTTTGGTAGTTTCACCGTCGATATGCTGAAATATAGAGGTCAAAAATGGGTAAATTTTTTTTGTGCAAATTGTGAGAGACTTTGCTTTTTTAAGAAACTTTTCACTCGTAAACTGAGGAGAGGAATTAGATGTGATGTTCATTGAATAAAATGATCGTGTGAATTGATGTAGGAAAAAAAGAAATATCCCTCCAAAATGATACTTTATATGACGTGAGCTCTGTTTTTGGGAATATACTTCATATCTGCTTAATTTATCTTTCATTTTTCAGGTATTTGTGCTCAGAGAGCTGGCATTGAACCGATCTCACTTTTTGGTTTCACATACGCTGAAATAAAAAAATTCAACTGCAAAACACGTTTCTTCATGAGTCATAGAATGACTCCTCATGAAATGAGCGACTCGTGGACAACACTCACCAATTGCTCATCGGCGACTTTTGTCCAATCCATTTTTCAAGAGGAAGAGTGCGGGATGTGGGGAAAATTTAAAAACTTGTTGAGGAGATATATTTGAATATATGTTGGTATTAATTCCTCTATTGTGTAAGGTAAAATGTTTGTCTGTTATTTAAAGTATATAAATATTTTTTACTTTTTTATATATATATTTTAATTTTACCCCACAAAAATAATGGCTCAGCTACTCCTTTAAGGTCCTCATAATTTAAGCGTCTGAGCGAACTTAAGTAACTTTAGGTATGTTTAGAGGATTTACATGTGGTGATGAAATATGTAATCATTATTCATGAGATAGGGAACTTTTATCTCACTTGTTTAATTGTGTCATGAATTTCCTTTTTCGGAGTCAAGGCAAGTGATGATAATTGTGAAAGTTTAAACATTTTTGCGTTATTCTCTTAAGTTTGTTGATGAGAACAAAATACATCGATTCTAACTTCCCGGACAGAAAACCCAAAACTAAAAAAATTTAAAAAGAAAGGTCTTGATACCTCGTATTTCGTAAGATAAATTAGGTAAGAGTTTGGAAAAATACACTCACTACCAGACTCGTCTATAAGAATGATATACTGTCGCCATATCAGCAAGGGTGCCGATCATCCCTGAAGCAACTTGGTGCACGCAAAGTGCGTTTCATCCCTTCGTTTAAGAGTTTCTTTTAAAAAATATTCGCCGTGTAGAAATTTACGATATTTCAATGATTAGTCTAGGAAGAATTTACATGTCGCCCTCAAAAAATGAAATTATTGTAAAATAAAAATGGTAACAAAATTTATTTTGAGAAACTCACAAATTAATAACGTAGATCTATATAAAAGGAGGATTGACAAACAAAAAACAAAAAGCTTCCATGCGGTTCGACAAGGAATAGAATGTCTCATCTGTGGTAACTTCCATGTTTCACTAGAAAATGGCTTGCGGTATTTCTCGCCCCAACTCTGCGCTCTGACGTCACTTAAAAGCCCATGGGAGGTGTCAACATAAAATCTGAATTACCTAAAATTCAATAACTTTAAACGTCCATTCTGTTATATTTCAATGGTGGTGTAGCCGTAATAAACTACAAAACGTGGATTATGATCAAGTCTATTTAAGCTAGAAAATGACAATGGATCCAGATTTGAATAAATACTGTCAATGGTACGAGTGCAAAATCACACGGATCAAACATTTTGACGATGAAAATGAGAGAGATATCATACTTGATGAGGAAAAGAGTCATGTTAGCATGGTTTTCAGTTTTTTTGTGCTTCCTCGAGTTTTCTCTATAGTAGTATGAAAAATCGCCGATTTATTTTTCTCATGGTAGAAGTAAACAGTGGCGTGGCGTGCTTTGCAATAAATCGAATGATCTGGCATTTTAACCTATGAAAAAGGATCCATAGACAGGGTGCCCAAGACCAACACCTTAATAATCGATTCTTTATCATAGCTTCAAATGGGAAATTATCGATAGTAGATCATTCACGCCTCGCCACTGAAAAAAAGTCAAAGAAACAGGGGGCCATGAAATGAGACTATTCCATTGTCACAATAAATGATCTCTGACAACATTCTTTCTTTTTGCGATCAAAATCCTAGCATGAAATATTTTGGAAATGAGGTAGATGAGGTAGATAGGTATATAAATAGTTGTGGCATGGCGTAGTTGCAGTATGCATGAGAGGGTTATTTTGAACTCCTGAAGTTAGTAGTTGCTATAGTTGTTGGAGCTGCTGCTACAAGAATACAGCTCCTCGCACTGACCGCCTGAATTCCCGAAGTCAACGGCTCTCTGCAATTCGTCCAGCACCCGTTGATATTTGGCGTACTGGGGTACGTTACTGCAATTAAAAAAAAGGAAATTAGTAGGTAAGTAACAGGATGATAGAAAAGTGCCGGATCCCAAGCTCATACTACTCTGCGGGGAAATCAAGGCCAAAAAAATTCCCCAAATATTTCATTGGTATCAACAATTTGAATTTGAATAAAATATACATTTTTACTGTTTAATATGTCATTTTGAAACAATTCTATCGGCCTCAATTAGCGAGAAAATAAATCCTCTCAAAAAAAAAAACAAAAAAAATATAACGACCAAAATTGCGTGTCACATAACCTCAGACCGCGTCTCTAAAGTAAAAACGTTGGGACTGCATTCGAAATGTTTACAGTTTTTTTCTGACAAAATACTTTTTTAGAGGATAACTAACATTTTCTTAGTTTCCTTTCAATCTTCATTCTTTCGAATCGATTCTGTCATATCATTAGGGACTCGCAATGAAAAAATGAAGTATTGTAGCCATTAGGTTTTCTTGTAATGCAAAAGTATGTGTGGAAGAAAAATACAAAAATCTGAGTAGATTTAGGGGCGTTTTTGCTGAGGGTGGCAGAAAATGCCCCCTCCCCCCTTTCCTTAGGGCGTAACGCATATGAGGAAGTGAACTCGATCGACATTAAGCAATTGAAAAAAAAGAAGAAGAAAAAAAAAAACAACTTAAATCGATCGACTTTTAAATGAAAGAAACCTGGTGTCGATTTGATTGACATGAGTCGTTCAAAAAACAAAAATGTCGGCCGATCGACAACCGTTAATCGATCGACGAATCCGTAATTTGCCGGGCAGAGCGAATGTGACAAAACTACCACGCGCACTGTGCGCTTTTCACTGTACGCTGAGCGTGTGTTCCTTAGAGTCCCTTTACACGTATACCGAGAGTAAAGACAATGCGAATCCACTTCTGATTGGTTCTTGTATTTTAGGCCTCCACAGTGTAACAAACGGGAGTGAAGATTACATTTTCACCAATTGCAAAGATTATAGACTGGAATGGACCGGGGAATTGGGGGTACAGTAAGGAACAAATGGAATGAGAGTGGGAACGGAGACAGGAATTCGGAAATGGGTCGATCAAAGATTACAAAAAACGTCTGATTCGTGTCCGTATGTGACATCCACAAGCCGCGTTGTCTCAACTCTCTTTATAAAAGGACTCCAATATTGCGGTATCTGTCATCGAAGGCAAACCAACAAACTTGTGAATCGATCAATAAAACCTGTCTTTCGATCGAATCGGTGCCGATCGAGTCGCTGTCGAACACTTGACGTTTTTATTTTTCGATCTATTCATGTCTATCGAATCCAGACCATCCCCCAACCCCCCCTCTTTGAGGTGAATTTAAGGAGGATTGGAGAAAGGAAGAACTGACTTCTTGTAGAAGATGTTGGAGCCCTTGAGGAGCATCTTGGCGGCGTGGATGTACTCGGTGGCCTTTTTGGGGTCCTGGCAGGCGATGCGGTTGAGGCAGTCATACTTGTTGGCCGTCTCGCCCATGAGGTAGCCGAGGAGCATGAGCACCTCTGATTCGCTGATGACCGGTTCGTCAGGGTCGAGCCCCTCCCGGATCTGGTTCCCGCTGACGTCACTCCGGTGCGGCTGCAGGTGCTTGAACCCCCCGAACAGCGCCCCCGTCCCGATCAACGCCGCCCCGTACAGGATCCCCTTCAGGATCAGGATGATTATTATGTTCGTCACGTTGAGGCTCAGGATCTGCAAACATGAGTTCCACAATGCCTTCTTTCCCGCACCAAGAAACCTAACTCCATTCCAAGGTTCCCTAATGGAGATGTTGCATGGGTGAGGAATTTGCCATTTGACTGTTGATTCTTATGTATATGTTGGCGGGAAACACGATGGTGCCACTGGTTTTCTCTGAAATCAACTCCCAAGCTCAAAAAAAGCTCTCAAGTTGAGGCCAGAATGGAGGGGATATCCCACGCTATCCTGAGAGTCCACCTCTACATCAAAACGAACTCTCCATGCAAAGATAGGGAGCAAATACATTAGCAGGGATGTCGTGTTTTCAGTTTTGGAGTCCCCAAAAAAGTGGCAGCCCTGTCAATGTGTTTGCTCCCTATCTTTGCATGGAGAGTTCGTTTTGATGTAGAAGTGGACTCTCAGGATAGCGTGGAATATCCTCTCCATTTTAGCCTCAACTTCAGAGCTTTTTTTGAGTTTCGGAGTTGATTTCAGAGAAAACCAGTGGCACCATCGTGTTTCTCGTGAACTTTTACATACGTATCAATATTCACATCGCAAATTCCTCACATATGCAACACCTCCATTGATTCAAACAATTAATTTCTTTACATGAAATCACTTGTGCAATTTTTGTTCAAAGTTTTGTAGATATTCACACGAGATCACAGAAAAATTCAGTGAAATTTCCAGTCAGAAACGTCCAAGGTTCTCCTGGTAAAAATGCAATTTTCGACGGGAAATCCGGAAACATTGGAATGTAGTTGCGTTCTCTCATGAGGCGGGAAACGATGGATGAATCAGTCGGGCGTATTTATGATAAAAGGAATTATGTTGCACGCAAAACTTATGCAGTCCCGCCATCCACATTCCGTCTTGGGCGCTGGTACCCTAGATTTAAGGTTCGGCCCCACCACTGCCACCAAGTTCCTTTTAGCATAAGACGTCCAGTTGTCCTATTCACATGATCGTTTTTTATATAGTTTAAGCGATCCAAGACAAAATTACCATACTGAAGGAGCGTGTTCTATGGGTCAAAATAAAACCTTTTTCTCATGAAATTCCTTTCCTGTAGCGCTTTTTAAGAGGGCTACAGCCCCCCCCCCCATAAAATGCTCAGCAAAATAAATAGGAGTTTCGGCAATTGGGCAACGGTAATCCACCGGTTCAATTACGATAGTTATAATTTTTTATTTCGTGGTCGGAGCATGTTGATTGAGTAGATGAAGAGAAACCGGCGCTCCGCGCCAGTTTTTCGGTATATGTATAAATGGAATCGGTTAAAGACCTGCGAGGTCTTTGCCGATCCGTTTGGAGGAGGCTAGTTCGGGGATATGGCAAGTCGTGAGAAATCGCGGATTCTCATGTCAGTGGCAGGGTCAGGCGTGTTGGATGCGAGCTTTCGAGACGCGATTGTTTATGTCTACGCGCGGAGCTTGCGGGGAGAGTGACCCCGGCTTCCGGCGATCCGGAAATCGGAGCTGGGCACGGAAGCTTCGGCCGTTGCCATAAAAGCTCGCCGAAGCTACTCGTACGCGGGGTAAGTCGGCGTGAGGCTTCACAGCCCCTGTAAGAGCAGCTAGAAGTAGTCATGGAATAAAGTGTGAATTGAACCGCGTTAAACAGAGAGGGAACCAAGCCATATCAGCTATTGCCAAATTTAACGGGGAAAGTTTATTTTTTACGAGAGAACTTTTGTGCGGACTCCTTCGAAAATTTCAAGGAAGTTGCTTTGAGTTAAGATGAAAATTCACTGAAATTTGCACAAAAATCCGTACAACCGTTATCATGTAAAAACTTAAATTGCTCCGATTAAATTTGGCATTAGTTGATGTGGCTTGGTTCCTTTCTGTTTAACGCGGTCCAATTGTACCCAAAAAATTTGCTTCGGCCCCCCCCCCCCCTAGNCAAAAGGTGTCCCCCTCGATATAAACGAACACGTCTTTTACCGTTTTTCGAAATTCCGACGCGTTCGGCAGATATTCAAGGTGGCTCCTTTTTCGTGAGACACCCTGTATACACATGAATTTGCATGGCATATATTTTCGTGATCTACAACCCGTGATCGGTGCTCTTGACAAGGTTTTAGGTCTGAGTACGACATCATGGGAGAATGGAAAAGTGTACACTAAAACGTACCTGGCTGTTGCCGGCCAGTCTGGCACTGATTTCTTGAGCGATTTCTCTGAAGATGGATACTGAGAAGCGTCTAGAGTCTCTTGAGTTGCCCTCGAATGATGGCGTTGGCGGTGAGGAGAGCGGTAGACCACCCTCGGTATGTTCAGATTCGCTCGTCGGATGTGTTGAATTCCTCTGAGCTAACACCACCAAAATGCACGCCATACTCAGCCAAAGGTGATTACTTTCAATTTTCTCCCGAGCCATGTCTGCAAATGCATTGAACCGCATATTTAAAACACAGATCCATGCTATTTTGATGCATGTGGATACTCAGACTAATCAGGTGCACAATGAGAGTTCGGGTCCGCAATGAAAGAGTGCGTCAGATCATGGGAGTCGAATATGGCGTCATATTCGGCGTCATGACCAGACAGCATGTCTGGTATGGTCATGTCAATAGAATGACGGACGAAAGGCTACCAAACAAGTTGCTTGATTGGGTTCCTCCTGGGAAGAGATGAAGGGGACGCCCAGTGAAAGGGTGACGACAGGGGGTTTTGGAAGAAATAAGGGTTTGCCAACTCCCTGAAGGGCTTTGGGAGGATAGGGGACTTTGGCGGCTAGGAGTCGCAGAGCGCCAGAGAGCGCTATAAAAGCGGCTTTATACATATACAATGAGAGCTTTGAAAAAAAAACACCGATGTACGATAATGGGTCTTTTGCAAACTTCAGTTAGTGCAAAAAGAAGAGATGTTTCTAATGAAAAACGGCTCAATAATCACGATGAGCCCATCAGGAGAGTCTGCAACTTACTCCTAGCTTCACAACCTGCGTAGGAACTGTGCGATTCTTTTAAAGCCACACGCTTCAAAAACGATAGTGCGGCACAGGTGAACGTTTCGTGAGAGGAGTCCATCCATCCTTGCACACTAGAATGCTACCGTTACGCGTTATTCAATATGGCCAACACAAACCCGCCAAAACACACGTGAGGAGACGGGATTTTATCAACCGGTGTGTTTATACATATTTACATTTCCCTTGAGTTGATAAAAACCATGATGCTTCTTCAAAATTTGCTCGCGGAAGAAGAAGGAAATCCTAGATCTTTTTGTTAACCTTCAATTGCGAATTAATGTCTACAACCACAATGGAGATGTTGCATATGTGAGGAATTTGCGATTTGACTATTGATACCAGGGCCGGATTAAGGGGGTGGCCATATGGGTCGCGGCCCATGGCGGCAAATTTAGGGGGGCGGCAAATGTTGCAATTTTTTTAAATGTAGTAATACAAAAAATCGGATTCAGAAAAAAAAATTCAATGAGAAAAGGGGACGAAATCTCTCTTTCCTGAGAGTATAGTAATTTCTAATTTTGTCGTTTTTCGGTAATACGAGAGACAGCATCTTTAGTTAGTCGAGTTAAAAGAGGAACTATACAAGCAATTTGGCATAGAACTCAGCACAGAGAGGAATGATGACGAGGACTTGAGATGAAAAGAACAAGCCCTCGGCGCGGCGGTCGGCATGTAACACATATTAGCGCCTACAAGACTGCATGAATACTACACGCATTTCGTCAAACTCAGTGCGGTCAGGAGCGGCGAGCGGTTGGCGAGAAACGCATAGCGCCTACAAGACTGCAGGAATACGCCAACGCCAAACGCGCCAAACGCAGTGCGATCAGCGCGGCGCAGCGGCAGAAGTTAAAATGATTAAACCACATTTATGTTTGTTCTTTCATAATTTTTTGGTTCATTTCTTATAAATTGAGGACCTTATTCACACAGAGATAGGTTTACAGAACTTAACTTTCGCGCGAAGTTCCGTGAAATTATTCTAGTAGTGTTGACAGGGCTTTCACAAAAAATGTATCCAACACGAGTAGGTAAACGCGTCTTATGCACTCCGATCCCTCCGGTACGTTCACTTCATGGTTTTTACTGATGTTTTAAAACGAATGAAAAGAAGGCGGCAAGTAGGTAAATCCGGCTTTGATTGATAACGTAAGTAAAATTTTGCGAGAAACATGATGGTGCCACTGGTTTTCTCTGAAATCAACTCCCAAGCTCAAAAAAAACTCTCAAGTTGAGGCCAAAATGGAGGGGATATCCCACGCTAGCCTGAGAGTCCACCTCTACATTAAAACGAACTCTCCATGCAATGATAGGGAGCAAATACATTTGCAGGGATGCCGTGTTTTCAGTTTTAGAGTCCCCAAATAAAGTGGCAGCCCTAACAATGTGTTTGCTCCCTATCTTTGCATGGAGACTTTATCTTTATGTAGAGGTGGACTCTCACGATAGCGTGGGATATCCCCTCACTTATGGCCTCAACTTGAGAGCTGTCTTTGAGCTTGGGAGATGATTTCAGTGAAAACCAGTGGCACCATCGTGCTTCTCGCGAACTTCTACATGAGAATCAACAGTCAAATCGCAAAAACCTCACACATGCAACATCTCCATTAATGTTTTCAGGAGCAGTTGCTTCTGAGTTGCTGAATAAAGGCTTTTAAAGTTACCTGATAGTTATTGCAAGGGTGGCTGATGTCACAACTAGAATCCAGAGACACGTGCGTGTTCTACCTAAAAAACTGAACGGTGTTCAACTTCACCTGAACTCGGAAAGAAACCTCAACGGTGTGGATACGATTTGCGTCTGACGTGCGGGAGCGAAACGCCCCTGCGTTGGTGATGAAACCGGAGCATCCTCAAATTATCCAGTGCACCTTTGTTACACGTTCAATTACAGGGGAAGAACGGAGATGGAACTAAAACAAAAGAACAAAGCACATGTGCCGACTGCACTGAAAAAGTGGCTGGAGACGCGTTATTAGATAATCGCGCGTCGCGTCGCGTCGCGCAGAGGAACGCGACTCGTTGGAAGAAGTCAAGCAGGGTAAGGAGACTTTAAACGCTTATATCTTCGTTAATACAAAAGCTAGAACTTTAAAAGAGGCTCCATTGGTATTCTTGTACACTTCTCTTCCAAAATTATACCTTAGAAATGTAGAAGGTGTCGGAATGAACATTGAAATTTGCAATTTTAGTGAAGGATTCCACGTCCAACTTCTCCGAATAAATCGGTCCATTGTGCGTGGCACAGGAGGCGGGCCCAACGTAAAATGAAAAATTTAAACTATTATCCAGAGCAGGATGACCGCACACTCCTACCATACTGCGGAAAAACGCAGTATTAACCTTCAGACGTTGCCATATTTCTTTCAATACAATGTGAATTTACTAGGAAACCCGTTAATGTTTTTATTCATATTTTCCAGACGATTTTGTTTGTAATTTAATCTAAAATGTCTGGAAATTACAAGGAAAAATATGCATAACTTTTTCTAAACTTTCGTGTTTTATCCAGGGAAATGTTGCAACTCTCGAATGTTCATACGGCGTTCTTCTACATCACAGCAAATATTCTATGAAAAGGAGAAAGCTCCACCCCAACTCAATTTTAATGACCTTGAAGATTACAGAAAAATAATAAGGCTTACAGTAAGATCGCTAGTATTTAAAAGAGTCACTCAATTTTAGCTGGCGCTCCAATTTTTATGTTCAGAGTTTACAACGGAGTATTCTGTTAGGTCTGAGATTTACGATTAACAACCCTATTGCTTATAAAATTCCGTCACAGTTGTAGAGACAAAATAATTGAACGGGCATTCTTGGTTTCTGATCTTGGACCACCGAATGGAGTTCCCTCGAGGTCCTGGGATCTCTTGACTCCCCTATTTCCCGTCGAATTTTGTGGGAGTTGTACGACAATGCCTTCGGTTTCGTCCGAAATTTGCTCCTAGCTAAGCTACCAAACTTATATTTACGCATATTTTCTCTCGACATTTTCCGATATTTTAGATTAAATCACGAACATGATTGCTGCAAAATTTGGAAAAAAAAAAAAAATATTCACAATTTTCCCAGAAAATGCGTTTTCCACTGAAGAGAATATGGCGACGTTAGAACGCTCTTACGGCGTTTTTCCTTGGCAGATGATGCAACGCAACAGACGCTGCCGCCTTGTCGATACCAGTAGCGCGGCGTGAGTGATCGATTATCGATGTTTCCCAATTTGAAGCTATGGTAAATCGATTATCAAGGTGTTCTTCGTGAACACCCTCTTTATCGATCCTTCTCCATAGGTTTAAAAGGCAGATCGATCGATAGATCGCAAAATACGCCACGCCACTGGTCGAGACGGTGCTGAAGCGCTCTTATTGTCTTGTTTCGCATCGGACAAGATGCGAGTGACAAGATGATGACGCACTCACGGCTCAGCGAGTTTGTTGACTTAGCGCAGAGTACGAGAGACAAGCTCGTGGCTCGTCGGTGAGGTAACCGCACTTGCTGGAAGTAGATCAGACCTCGGCTCCTCTGCCGACAGCGGCGGTGGCGACGAAGCGGAAAGCTCATTGTTTTTCCACGTCGAAGCCTGGAATTTTCGAGACGATCGAAATAAATAATCCAATTAGAGGGTCAGTAGGCTAGTGAGCAAGTTCCGAGTTCAGGCGCAATATTCTGCGCTCCGTTCTATCTGGTCAGTGAGGGTGTGAATGTGGAAACCGATTGCCGCTGTTTAGAATCATAATCGTATTAGCGTCGATTCTTGAAATTTGGCAACACTGTTTTCCCTCAATTTGAATCAATGGCCTGTGTCACACTTTCAAAAGTAGCCATCAAAATATCAAGGTCAGGTGTTAAGATTGGCTTATTCGATGGCTTGGACCAATCACAGCACTAAACTTTGACATTTTGATGGAGTATCTCTTGATAGTGTGACACAGGCTACTGGCGTGGCGTGCTTAGCGATGCATCCGTTGATAGTCCAAGAGCCAGCACCGGATAATCTAACCGGAGAGTATAAGAATTTTCACATACATTCTTAGATCGAGTTGCTCGAAAGTAGCAAGGATCGGGCTGTCTGGTTGGTCATAGATGGAGGGGTTCAAAATTTGAGACCCATCAAATCTCCGGAAAATTGCGTAAATTTTAACCGGGAAGTATTAGTTGATTTTAGTCTCATGTTGTGGGGGTGACTTCCCTGATTAGATATCACCTTGCCAGACTGTCAAGCTCCGATGGGCAAGGGTTGCCAGATCGCCCGAAAGTTGCTAAAATCGAACTTTTCTGCCTCATGTGAATGCACCATCTTCTTTTTACACTGTAAGCTCCGAGACCTCCTAAATTGGGGTATCTGGTAACGCTTAGTTCCAGCGTTCTACCGGGCCGATTTTCCTGATTTTTGCGGCTATCGACGAACAATTGTCTCTAGATGAGTCTCAATGCAGCAATGTCAATTTAGTCTCAGTATGTCAATTTAGTAGCAGTCTCAATTTAGATTTTGAAAATATGACCCAAGTTTTTTTTTATATTACGTGATAAAGTTGCGGATTCTCCCATTTAAAAAAATGTCATGTGACCATTCCAGTCCACACTTGGGTACCAATGAGGAAGTTGTATGAATGATCGATTATCGATTTTTCCCCATTTGAAGCTGCGGTAAAGAATCGCCATTATAAGGTGCTCGTTGCGAACACCCTGTTTATCGATCATTTTCTGTAAATGGCAGATCAATCGATACCTCGCAAAGCACGCCACGCCACTATTGGGTACCTACAGGCGGTAAGTTTCCTAAACACATTCTCACTGTACTGGGTGACAGTCGTTCTGTGCCCTACCGGAACTGTATCAGTGAGAACGAAAACACACCAACTCGGTAACTCGAAAATACTCACTTTTCACTAAGGGCAGACAATTTTCATAAAGGTCATTGAAGTTACCGTATCTGTTCCAACTTGGACACTTAAAGGGTCCTTAAGTACTTGCTTTTAGGCACCAAAAATCTTTTTCTTAGACTAACTTCTTCACCTAATATGCATTTTTGTGTGTGTCTTGATTATTTTCATTTTTTCGAGTTGGTGTGTTTTCGTTCTCCTTGATTCAATTATAAAGTATGGCAAAGCAAATCGAAAATTATTTTTACCGTGTGCTCATGCACCGCTCTTAATTCGACTCTGCTGACCCTGCTGTTGCTTGAAACTTGTGATGAGGGGGCGGAGAAGAGAGAGAACAAACTGAGAGAAGCTCTTCTGAGGTGCCTGTTTTTGTCCGAGGCTGAATTTCAAAGGGGTATTATCGCCGTCTATCCGTCTCTACAGCAACAGATTTGTTTATTTCTCCATCCGTTGGTCACCACGCAAATGCGATGAGCTTGCACTTATGATAAATTACCAAAACGATACTATAAGCACTTCGAAATACTATGTATAAAATAAATTGGTACCTAAAATTTTAATTGACCAGATAGCGTTCTTCTTTCCAGAAAGTTCATTGTTTTTGAAAGCAGTTATTTATCGTTCGAAGAAGTGCAGTCGTTGTCTAAAATCAACTAGTGGAGGAAAATGTCGACTGAAGACTCTATTAGCACCGTCTCCAGTCCTGAGGACACAGGTACGCAGAATCCATATACACAAGAAAGATTAGATTTGGGGGGGGGGGGGGAGACGCAAGGCTGAATTCTGTCCGTATATTTTGAAGCCTTAATATTTAAACATGAAGAGTAACATCAAAAGATACTTTTGACGGAAAATTACAGATTTTTCTCCCAGAAATATAGAAAAATGCAACAAAATTTTGCACCTCTCCTCATTAAGCTGTACTTAATTTTCGAAAATTTCAGGGTTCATCTTAGAGAATTAAATCGGTAAATAAGTGAAACAGAAATCTTTCTTATCAAATGCGCTACCTAAGAAAGTTTGGATTCAAACACTTACATTTCCTCTCATCAAATGTTTGCATTGTAAACGATCACACGATTAGCGAATGAAAATATTTTCTCTTCGTCAACTTTTGATTGAGATTTAGACGTTTATGGTATTCTCAAATGCACGATTCTTTGCTATAAAGTAACCAAAAAACCCTCTCGAGCACCTTGCACATGAAGAAAAAGTTGTGTGCGCATTTTTACATCGATCAGTTTTTTGTTCTGAAAATTGTCCCTTTGCGAATTCAACATCATTATTTGTTCAAGAAAAAGGAATTGTTTCTTAATGCTTTCTTTCTTAATGTTTAGTCCAAAACATTTTTAAGAAAAATTAGTTCCGTATGAAAGCTTCGACCGGCGCATCGCGCGATTCTCTTTCGTTTCTTCCTTTGAGGGGTGTATACATTTTTTATTGGAATCAGTTTTTTCATATGATAATGACACTCTCGCCCAAGTATTACATTAATGAATAATATTTTCGTGCATAAACAACATTTCTGGCAAAATTTTGATGAGATAACATATAACGAGTGACCTATGTCAAATTCAGACCCGTGTCGGAGTCTAGTAGTCCTTCACTGTACATGTATTAATTTGTGGCAACCTTATAATAAAATAATTTTATGAAGTTCAAACTTGATTTTCAGAGGATGAGCTTGAGAAACTATCACCCAAGGAAGAAGCACTTGAAACAGTTACAGAGGAAGACTCAATCGATCAATTAGTAAGTTAGAAAGCCGGACATAGTGCCATGGGTCAAAATACGTTTTGAATTTCTCAAGGTCTTCACAAATCTTGCTGGCGCCGCAAAGAGACAAAAGTTCGTGCTTGATGGATGTCCGTGTTGCATCTGCAAAACTGAAGCCGCGAAGGCGCTCGGCATGAACTCTCCATTATTGAGATTTGATGTTGATGAATTCGGTGTTTCTCGGATTCGGGAGAAATGTTAAGAGAACGAGGCCCGACTACCCATGA